TATGGGTTCTGTACTTGCATCGCCTGCTGCTGATATGGAAAGTGCTGTAATCCATTAGTTGGCGGGTAATGAGTTCCCATCATTGGAACGAAATTAGGCGTGCCCATTGAAACGGCGCCAACCATTGCACCACCGGATCTTCCGTTGTTCATACCCTGAGAGTGTATCTGCTGCTGGTGATGGTGCTGTTGAACTTGTTGTTGTGCAACCTGCTGTTGGATAGGAGGTGCCTGTCCCGCTTTCAGCTGGGCGGCTTCACCCCCAGCAGCCTGGGAACCTCTGCTCTCACCATTAACGTTGGAATTGTCGGACATGACTACTAAAATGGCCTGAACCGCTCTGTGTAAAACCTTCTGTTGAACCCAGCGCCCGGTATCAAAGTCTCAGTCCCTCCCACCTTTCTCAATTAGATCAAACGGGAAAGAGAAAAAAGAACTCGAAGGGAGGAGAAAAAAAATTCCCAAAGGGTAACCAGAGTTATGAGGAAAATAGGCAAAACACAACGAAAGAAAATGAGCAAAAGAAGGCCGTTATAGTATGCGATTTCTCGGGTCTTTCTCTTTGTTTATAACTGTTCTGTAGAACTCGATGTTATAAGAAGGAGGGAATACTATGAGGATATATCAACACAAACGTTTGAGCTTTTTATCCTTTTCCCCTTTTCTTCAATTGAAAAATCAACACCGTGTTTGTGGTTTCCACTGTTTTAATTTTTTTTGTGCGCCCTTCAATTTATTTTGCTGTTTTTTTTCTCGGTCCACAAAAAGAGGCCACAGATCTTTTTTTCTGTTCTCGGGGATGTAAAGATGTTCCCTTTTAGGAAAGGTTATGTAGCGCTGGCGGAGACAGGTGTTATGGCTGGTTATCGATACTGTCTGGGGGGATTGAAGGAGTTATAAGCTGTGATTCGAGTTGTTTGAGCTATAGAGAGCGATTGGGGCTGGATCTGATGTATGCTTGTTGAATTTGGAGGCTTTATCATGTATTGTTTGGAGGATTCTGTCCAGTTGGCCATGACATGCATATGAGTGTTTTATTTTTGTATATAGGGCTAGATTTTTCTTCCTTTCCATAGAAAACCGTACATGTATAGAAGGGCAGCCGATTCTGGACATGTGTATGTTGGAGTAACCTTTCGATGACAGAGACTACGAGGCAATTGGCTCCGTATGACGTGTTCCAACTAATGGTTGTGGGAGATATTCCGCGCTAAGGCACAGAATGAGGACCTTCGCCTGCGGTGTCGATGAGATATGTAGGTAATTTGTCTCTGTGACAACCGTTAAGACTGATGGTCCCAAAGTTGAGTCATTTACACACAACTTCAGCTGGTATAAGCCCCCCATAGCAGCTGGCCTCTCTCTACGCATTGGACGGATTGGGAACTTCAAACGGTAAAATCTAGCCGACAACGATTTACAATGACAGACGAACGTGTGTTTTATTTTGGTTAATAGCCTCATCGGAGCAAAAAACACACAGTTCACATCTCAAATTTTTTCAACGTCTTTCACCGGTATCAGGCAACCACAGCCAATGACACACGGTGGTTCATGGATTCACGTGCTTAAAGCTTCAAGTCCCCGAGCTAGTGGTGCACATTGGTAGCGAAGAATGCTACAGAGCATACAAGGAAGATGCAAAGGAAGATGTGCTACCAGAAGGTATTACTCTTTACATTCCCTTCATTGAATCGCCTATATATACGTCATCTCGACGGTTTTCACTCCAAACCCAGTCCACAGGGGTGCCACATGACCTCCACTAACCCCTTTACTCCATAGCTCCACAAGAAAAGGAGGCATAACCTGAACTACAACACTCGCTCGTCGTATTCGAATGAGTCGAAGAAAACCGTTGAAGTTGCCTGGGAGATAATCTTTTTCTCGTGGAATTAACGAATTACCCGATTGGGTGTTAATCACCCCTTTTTCGGGAACCAGAATTGGAAATTTCTGAATCCCGCAAAACTCACCAAATTTTCCCGCAAAAAAACGTAAATCCATGCAGCACAGCGCATAGTGCACGGCGTAGATTTTCCGCAAGAGAATTTTTCGTGTCCTCTGGTCTCCATGACAACGATGATTACACCTCCTACAATAACAGCATCAACCGTCAACCTGGTTTCGCAAAAAAAGGAGTTGGCTGCCGAGGAGAAGAGCATGTATGTTTTTCCTAGCAAACTTTAACCTTGGTTCACAAGTAACCTCCCCTTCTAATTGCTAAACTTGTATTCACGCCAACAATACACAGGGTTATGAGCACCGTGGCAGAGGGCAAGTCACGTGACATAGCTCATCTGGTAAAGGCACACTGTGTGTGGAAAATTTTCCTTCGGTTGGGTATTAATTATACCTCTGAAGGAAGTGAAAAAAATGCGATGAGCTTCTTCAAGTTGTCATAAAATATCATTCTCTCTCTTCACTCAGACAAAGGTAGAATGGTTGAACTTAACTCAAACCCTGAGATTCTTCTCCGTAAGAGAAAGAACGCTGATAGACTCAGAATCGAAAAGCAGGAGAAAGCTCGCCAGAGACAGGAAGAGCAAAAGAAGAGAAAGGCTGCAAAGAGTAAGAGATTTGTACGTGCTGAGTCCCTTGTTGCAAAGACATTGGCTTCCAGAAGAGAGCAGGAAAGAGTCAAGAGGGTGTCTAAAGTTGAGAGATCAAAGCTTGTGAGTGATGCATCCAACACCAAATCGTACATCTCCAGAGTCGCTCAAGATGGATCAAAATCTAAAGAGATATACTCTGGTAAACCAACTCTTTACTTGATAGTCAGAACCCCAGGCCCAGTAGGTGCAAAGATCCCTTCCAAAGTCCAGAAAGTTCTTCAACTGCTTAGATTGAACAAGATCAACTCTGGTGTCTTTGTGAAGCTCACAGAGACCGTGTACCCATTGTTGAAGCTCCTTTCTCCATACACTGTGATAGGCCAACCTTCTCTGCAAACTGTTAGACAGTTGGTCCAGAAAAGAGCAACCGTCACAGTGAAACAAGCTAACGACGAGGAGCCAAGACAGGTTAAGTTGAACGACAACAACTTGGTTGAGGAGAAGTTGGGAGACGAAGGTATCATTTGTATTGAGGACATCATCCACGAAATTGTCACACTTGGCGACAACTTCAAGACTGTGACCCATTTCCTCGATCCATTTGAGTTGAACAAGGACGTTGTAGGCTATGGCCCATTAGCCAAGTTACGCAAACTGGAGAAGCAGGAGGCAAAGAAGCAGAGAAAGACTTCGAACTCTGGTTCTGCTCCAATCTTGGAGATTGATATTGATGACTTTGTTTCTCAACAGAATTAGTCTCAAATCCAGTTCAAGTCTCATCACTACATCTGCATAAGATATGATAATAGAAAATCTTCGTTTCGTTTAAATACATAATATGTTTGTAACTAGAGTAGCACGTTTTCAAGCCAAGATCTTCTTGACGGCTTCAGCAACAGCATCACCAACCTCGGTGGTTGAGTTTGTTCCCTTCAAGTCACCAGTTCTGATACCAGCATCGAGAACTTGCTTAACAGCAGTCTCAACGGCAACACCTTCCTCGTACAAGTCCAAAGACAACTTCAACATCATTGCAGCAGACAAGATAGTGGCAATTGGGTTCACCTTATTAGCTGGCAAGTCTGGAGCAGATCCATGGCATGGCTCGTACAAACCAAAGGCCTTGTTCGAGTCTGGCAGAGATGCCAAAGAGGCAGATGGCAACAAACCCAGAGAACCTGGAATGACAGATGCCTCATCAGAGATGATATCACCAAACATGTTTGAGGTGATGACTATACCGTTGAGCTGTGTTGGGTTCTTGATGAGGATCATGGCAGCGGAGTCGATCAACTGGTGTTGAACGGTCAATTGTGGGAATTCCTTCTCGATGGTCTCAGTGACAACCTTTCTCCACAATCTAGAGGAGGCCAAGACGTTGGCCTTGTCCAAAGACCAGATTGGCAATGGTGGGTTGTGTTGCAAGGCCATGAATGCAGCCATTCTGGTGATTCTTTGAACCTCTGGAACAGAGTATGTTTCAGTATCGGACGCAACGCCTGAACCGTCATCCTCCTTTCTTTCACCAAAGTAGATACCACCGACAAGCTCTCTGACAACGACAAAGTCCGTGCCCTTGACAACCTCGGCCTTGATTGGAGACAAGTCCAACAAGGACTCGGAGGCAAAGTTACATGGTCTCAAGTTGGCGTAAAGATTCAGCTCTTTTCTGATCTTCAGAAGACCTTGCTCTGGTCTGACAGCACCGGTACCCCATTTTGGACCACCGACAGCACCGAGCAGAACAGCATCAGCCTTCTTGGAGGCCTCCAAGGCATCGTCTGGCAATGGAACACCGGTGGCATCGATAGCAGCTCCTCCAATCAGGTGGTGTTGGAAGTTGAATTTGATCTCCGGCTTCACCTCCTCGATGGCCTTGAGGACCTTGATGGCCTCAGCAGTGATCTCAGTACCGACGTGGTCACCTGGAAGAACGACAATTGTTTTCTCTGGCATGGTTGTGTGAGCTAGTAGCAATGATATTTAACAATGGAGAGAAACAAGCAGAGAATGACAGAGGTGGACGGTGGAAAAATGCGTATGATTCGATAAATTGTCACTCAACGGACTCTCCCAGTGGCCCTTCTCCGGTGCCGGCGCATCACCAGGCTCGGGGGCTCGGGGAGACAGAGAGGGAAGCTCTCCGGTACCGGCGAACTATAAACATCCAGACACCCACGAGGGGTGGGATGCTTCACAAGAGTTGTTATATATAAAGATTATGTATTAAACAACGGTGAATGAACGGACTGGTCTGATCTCTTCTAACTCCACGCACTTCCATAGAGATCCCTTCAGCCTGTTGTCATTGAATCTTTCATAGATTAACGATAATAGCCACCAAACTTCAGAGGTATGGGCTCCTGCAAACGTTTCGCTGGCAGTTTCCAATAGGATCTTTGCCCTTGAGATGGCAGCGAGTTGGTCTCTTTCAGAGATGAACACCGACTCCTTAGCGGTCAACACTAATTGGGCATATCCGACAACGGCAGGGATGGATAGTTTCTCAAGTAAAAGAGCGCTGTCAAACTCTTTGAAGCTCAACTCCGGTCTCTTGTCCAAAGTCAGCAACGCCAACGCAACATGCGAGTCGGAAGTTGGTCTATAACATTTCTCACTCTCGACAATTGCTTCTTCTGCTTCCACTGGAAGGTTCAGCTGGTAGTATATATTAGCAGCAAGGAGCCAAACCTGTTGAAGCTTTTGCTTGATAGCCACTGCTAGTGGGTCAATGGTGATCTGTTGTTGCGCAGTCTTTTCCTTATGATCCTTACGCCCAATGGTTTTGATCTTTTGAATTTTCTGGAGCGTTTGAGTACGTGCCAGTGATAATGAGTGCTTATGAGACTTTTCCGGTGATGGGGCATCTCCATTCGCAACATTGCTCACGATGAAATCGGAATATAGTTTATGGAACAAGGCGAACAGCTCTGGAAGTGAGTCCAGTGCTTGTTCCGGGCCCAATAGTGACTGAATAATAGCCAATTGTGTCATTTTAATCTGAAGGAAAACGTCCCTCAACTGTAATGGGATAGGTGACGTTTCTATGAACTCAGCAACTTCAGACGATAGAAATCCGATAACCTTATAAGCCTCATCTTTATTTTCTTCAATGGACAAGATCAACGCCAACAAATGACATGATTGAAAGTAGATTGATGATGTCTTTGAAACGTTTTGCAACAATGTCTTGACGATTTTGAATGACTCCTTAATATTACCCAAGATTGCCGTGGTTTTGGCATAGTTGAAAACAGCTTCATACTCAGTGTGCAACCAAATCGAGTGCTTAAAATGCTCCAATGCTTTAACAGTTGATGAATTTTCAGAATAGATGTATTCTTCATCGTTTATAAGTGTCCAGGTTGCATTACCCAGAGTATTCCAAACACCAGCAAGGATTTTTCCCAGGGACTCGTCAACAACAACGTTATTTGGCGTGGTTAAGGACTGTGCCACGTCAAACTGAGAGAATTTGTCCAACCCTGCAATTGTGTAGAACTCCTTCAGCAATTCCTCCAATTTAGCCACTCTGTCAGAGAAGTAGCGATAATCCTCAAAGTTCAAGGGTACACGATGTTTTAAACCGTAGTCAAGAACCAGTTTTTGAATTTGAATAATGGACACGATATCCAAATACTTGTGCTTATTCTGTTCATAAAACGCATGGACATATGCCTCGTAAACCTCTAACACGGATTTGAGCTCTCCATAGCTCTTTTCAGCCACCAACGCCCTGATGTACGCTCTCATGAGGATGTGCGATTGGTATGTCTTTGCAATGGCCTGTTCCACCAAGGACTTCACACGGCTTGGAGAAAGAACCGACGACAACGATGCGAGGTCAATCAGTTCCTCCAACTCGTGATTGTTCACTTCATTGGCCTTCGGGAAGCTCGTTGATGCGATCAGCGATTCTGCCCTTTGCACGATGTACAACCTCAACTCCTTCGCATTTTCCTCCGTGAGCAACCCCCTCGAGCTCTGATAGTTGAAGTAGGAGATCACAAAGTTCTTGTGCTTGAGCAGCTTATCGACATCGCCAACAGACGCATACGTGAAATTGTCATAGAACGCATCGTAGATCAACGTCAACCATCTGGTTGTCTCCAGCTCACTAGCAGTTGGCACAGAGGCAAGAGCGTTGATTCCATCAACAAGCGACGACTTGACACGCGCCACGTCACCAAGACCGTTGTACACTGTGAACAGCACGTAGTGCTTCTTATACACCAACGTCTTCCCAAAGCGGTCGGGAGGGAAGGCCTTGACGGATTGCAACAACCCCAGCGCCTCTTCGAACCGTCTGTGCAACACCATCTTGAACGCCAAGTTCGTGGCGGCTAGGGAGTACTCCCAGTTCTTATCGTCGATGCTCTTCACGAAGCAGTCGGACTCCTCCAGCAGCTCGGGCAGCGCCCTTTCCACCATACCGCCCTGCTCCATCAACGGGTCCTCGTGTATCAACACAGCGAGCTTGTGCTCAATGCTCAGCAGCTGGTCCAGCACTGAAGCATTCTCCGCGGGAGAAAGGGCGCTTCGTGGCCAGACACCGAGCGCCCTCTGTTCATCGACCAATGGCAGCTCTCTCACGTTGACCATCGCTGCCGCGCACCGTTTCTGTTCGTTGGCTGTGTGTTTTGATACTGTGAACCTCCCTTCGAAACGCTTCGAAACGCTTTCAGAAGAGCACTTCCAGCGGCTGATTTCATCACGTCCCGCGAATATTTCCCCTTTTGGGAGACACTGCCCGCCAGGGCTCCCAACCGCACGAATCGACACCGCGTTGCAAAACACCCGGACACCAAGGTCATCGTGGCCGCGGTGGGCCGTAAAACTTTTCTCCTCCACCAGGGCATAATGTATACGGTGCCATGGTGGTGTTGTGTTGAGCTGTGGGCTGAGATTGCACCATTGAGCTGATACAGAGCGAGTGGTCTGAGCAGAGTGATGTCGAGACAGGAGATATATTCGCCGGAGGGGCTCCGTATGGATGGGCGTCGTTGGAACGAGCTTCGTCGGTTCCAGTGCCGTATTAATACCCATCCTAACTCTGCAGATGGGTCGAGTTTTGTTGAACAGGGCAATTCGAAGGTGGTTTGTATCGTGGAAGGGCCTATGGAGCCCCCTTCGAGGTCACAGCTGTCAGCCACGGAGGCGACGCTGAACATATCGCTGAACGTGACGCCGTTCTCGTCGATTGACAGGAAGAGAAGAAACAAGAACGAGAGACGAATTCAGGAGATTATCACGAGTCTGAAGAGAACCTTTGAACAGAGCATCATCACGGATAAGTATCCAAGGACGACAATATCCATCACGTGCCATGTACTGACGCTCGATGGTGGGTTGATCAGCGCAGTGACAAATAGCATAACGTTGGCATTGATCGATGCAGGTATTGCAATGTACGACTACATCAGCAGTGTAAGTGCAGGCTTTTATGATAATACGCCATTGCTGGACTTGAACCAGCTGGAGGAGAACGACTTAAGCTACCTCACCATTGGAATCGTCGGTAAAAGTGAGAAATTGGCGTTACTTATACTGGAGAATAAGATCCCACTGGACAAATTAGAAGGCGTATTGGCCATCGCAGTTGCTGGAGGACATAGGATTAGGGATATGATGGATAAGGAAGTGAGAAGACATGGCGAACTTCGACTATCGAAACTTGCAAACAAGTGAATGCTACACACACATGTATATCTATGGTTGAATGCCTATTTGCACTAATTATTACGTAGCCTTTGTTATTTCATTCTTGATCATCTTTCTGCCACGGGAGAAGATCCCCTTGGCACCTTTGGCAAAACTGTGAGCAGTTTGGGAGGTCTCCTGAATGACACGTCTCTTGTGTAGCAATGAGCCCATATTGGTATGTCTTCTGCTGAAGTTCGACGCCTCTGCATACGCCTTCTTAACGTGAGATGTATTGCTACTCTTGTAGCTAACAACTTCCACTTTATCCAGTGCGTGCGATATCCAGATCTCCAGCCCAGTATCAATGTTTGCCTCTTCTTCACGTGCCCTTTGATACTGTTTGATCCTCTGTTTTGGGTCTGTTAAAGACGCAATAGTTTTGACATTATAACTCACAGGCTTGGTCTTACCAAGCTCGCGTTGTTGGACAGCTGGTTGCTGAGGAGGCTCTTCCTCATGATCTTCCGTTGTTAGACTTGAAGTGGACAGATGCTCTTTGAAGAAGTCTGTATTTGACGATGACAGCGTATCAATTGGGATATGAATCGGTAACACAGTATCTGATGGAGTCGTATAGACCCCTTCTTTCAAGCTCTGAGATGGGGGTTGCACCTCAAAAGACGATTCCATCTCAGACAGCATAGACATGTTTCTACCTTGAGAACCGGATACAGAGAGATGGTTTGAATCATTGGTGACAACAGGGGCAATAGAGCTTGTATCTTCGACAATTTCGCCCATTGAATTTCTCGTATAAGTATCCAGTTTTGGTAGAGGTGGGATCACCGCACTGTCATTGATGAATTGGTCTCTATAGCTCTCAGTATTTGGTCTCCAGTGTCCCATGTTTATCGACAACGCAGAGTTTAACTGACCATCGGCTTCAGGCTGCTGCGACTGGGACTGGGACTGTGAATGGGACAGCTGTGGTTGTTGTTTCTGCTGCTGTTCCATGTCAAGATCTCTTGTAGACCCTGCTACTGATTGGACTTCGGATATCTGAAAGCTTCTGTTGGTCAAACTCGGGGTACGATCACTCAGCTTTGAAGACCTATGCTCACTCAGGGAGTAGCTTCCAGTAGATAACGAGCCTGAAGACCTGGATCTCGATTTAGCCAGTTCCAAGTGATCACGGCTTTGATCCTCATCTGCGTACTCATCAAAGTAATCACTCACGGAGGAATAGAACTGCGAATCCCTGTTCTCCTTTGGAACGTCTAGGGAATCATCAACATAGTAATGCTCTACATTACTCTGTTCGGCATCTTCATCCATTGGAATTGGCGAGTTGATCAAATCGCTCAAGTAGGCATGTTCTTCCAAGTTTGCCGGTATACTGTCAGAATTTGGAATGGTTGCAGAGGTGAAGCCACCTTCAGCCTCTGCCTGATCTCTGGTGATCTCTCTTATGGAGGAGCCCTTACTTTGGACGTTTGAGTCATTGATGTGTAGTGTGTCTGTATCTGAGACATCGTAGTGCTCAGCACTTGTTTCTGCTGATGATTCTGCTACTGGCTCATGAACTGGTTCCACGATAATCGGTATATCGGTGGTACGAGCATTGTCAGCTTCAGCTTCTTGAGGTTGATCTTCCACCTCGTTGGTGTCGGACTCGAGAGGACGTGTAACCTCAAAGCTCTCCTTTTCAGGTGATTTGATAAATTCTGAACGGAAATGACTCTGCTTTGGCACATAGTCATCGTATTCGTCATCACCATCGTTATAGGCGTCTTCATCGTCATTATTGTTATTAACATCATCATCGTTTCCATCATTAGTCTCTTCCTCTTCCTTCTGTTCGCTCACAGGCCCAGCATTGTGACTAGGCAGACTCCCACCACTCTTGATAGTTTCAGCGTCATGGGAGGTCGCTCCCTCCACCGTCGATTCCTCATGTGCCTGTTTTTGAGCCTCCATCATCGCCATGAACTCCTCTTCAGTCTCAGGCATCTCGCTTGGGAAAGGCTCAAAGGCGCTGGTTGCAACGTTGGGGTCGTAGTAAAAGTCCTCATCGGTATGTGCTGGCACATGTTGAGCGTCTTCTGCGCCTTTATCCTCCAAATCGTCGGAATGGAACGAATCCTCCTCCAAGATGTAGCCCTCCTGGGTATCCTCTTCAACACCAAGCGCAGGTTGGTAGTGCGAAGCAGCCACAGGCTGGTAGTCGTCGTCGTAATCACCCTCACTCTTCTTCTCATCAACACTGTCGCGTGGTTTTTGTTGATCCAGTTCCATCGCGTCGAACTTCGCCTTCAGAGTCATCTCCGGTGTCTTGGTGACTTCCTCGTTGTACGTTGCCACCTGCTCTCGCTCTTGATCCTGCTCCTGCTCCTGCTCCTCTTCTCGTTGCTCGTCAAACTCATCATCACTCCTAGTTGTTCCATCATTAGCATACGGGTACTCAATACACACAATCACCAACGCAGTGGCATACTCACCAATCATCGCCGTCGTAGTTCGCATTCGACGCCTTGGTCCATCTCGTCGATGTGTGTCTATGGACTTCTTCCCCTGGCATTGTTGTGTTCCACGTAGTTCGCCAACGGGTGTTGATGTGCTTGTCCCGTGTCCCTTTGTCCTGTGTCTTGTGTGCCTTTGCTTTGGGAGCTTTGCAAAACGGGACAATAACCCAGACATCCGGGAGGGCCCGAAAACAAAACAGACGGCTTGAGGCCGGGTAATGAGGACACTGGTGGGAGGCATGGTCGGAAAACACACAATATCCGAGGGCAGCACGTGATACTGGTGCTTAGTGTCCGGGTGTATAGGTGTCCGGGTTTATGGGTGTCCGGGTGTAAGCCACACCTCATAATCATCAGCAGATCCTTGCATACTTTATGTACTTTCCACCTTTGTATTAATCAACCCATAAGCCCATACGTTTCTGGCAAACGAGCGTATAAAAAGGTAACTATTCCCACCAGTCTTTGGATGAAACTGATCTCCTTCAGGAGAATGAAATATCTGCTGGTCATACTATCAATCATCGTTCTCTACATGTCCATCAATCATCATTTTAGCAAACTAACAAAAGAGGATCCCTCAGAGGAGAGTACAGATATGAAACCACCCGTTGTTGTCGTTGGTTCCGGATTGGCTGGACTGTCGTCTGCATATACACTGCTATTGCGCAACGTTCCAGTTGTTTTGCTGGAGAAAGGTGAAAAGTTTGGTGGTAATTCCATGAAGGCATCTTCAGGCATCAACGGAATGCATACTGAGACGCAGAAGCTGAAGGGCATCGAGGACTCGTTCGAGGTCTTCTACAACGACACCATCAACAGTGCCAAGCACGTCGGTGACAAGGATCTCCAGAGAGTCCTCGTCAACGACAGTACGAAGGCAATTGACTGGCTGAAGACGAGCATTGGTGTTCCCTTGAACGTTGTGAACAGACTTGGTGGCCATTCTCAAACGAGAACCCATAGATCTGAGGGTGTGCCACCTGGGTTTGAAATCATTTCCAAGCTGCTGGCAAAGGTCAAGGAGCAACCTGGGGTTGAGCTTCATAACGGTGCCAAACTCACGGGCTTAGATATCGTCGATAACAAAGTGAAAGGTGTGAAGTATCTGAATGTGACCAGCGGTGAAGAGTCCACGATCAAGACTTCAAACGTTGTCATTGCAACAGGTGGATTTGGCTATTCGAAGGAATTGCTAAGCAAATACACACCTCATTACGTTGATTTCCCAACGACAAATGATAAGAACACTCAAGGTGAAGGCCAAGTCATATTGGAGAATGCCGGTGGTGAATTGATCGACATGGAATACGTCCAAATCCATCCTACTGGCTTCATAAAGAAGGATGACCCTCAGAGCAACTGGAAGTTCCTCGCAGCTGAGTCCCTAAGAGGCATTGGTGGTATTCTGCTCAACGCCAAATTCGACAGATTCGTCAACGAATTGGACACGAGAGACGCTGTGAGCAAGGCAATCTTGGCCCAAGAGGGCAAAAAGGCATACCTGGTCTTGAGCGATGATATGTACAAGGACTTCAAGTTCCAAATCGACTTCTACAAGAAGATGAACCTCATTGAAGAGACCACTCTATCGGAGAAGTTCGGCGACGACAGTGCAAAGGTTATAGAACTCCTGAGGGAATATTCCAATGGCTCAGAGGACCAGTTTGGACGTAAGTTCAAGCAGCACGTGTTCCCTGACGTCTCTCCTGATACCACTTTGTACATTGGTGAAGTGACACCCGTGGTGCACTTCACAATGGGAGGTGTTAAGATCGACATCAACGGTGAAGTCCTCAACAAAGATGGCGTGCCAATTGAAGGCTTATACGCTGCTGGCGAGGTCAGCGGAGGTGTCCATGGCAAGAACAGGCTTGGTGGAAACTCCCTCTTGGAGTGTGTTGTGTTTGGAACAAGGGCTGGCGAGCAGATTGCTGAGAAGTACAAGCTTTGAAGAGCCCTTGTGAATGCCATTATATAGAACATACCTATCTATACACATGCTTTAGTCAACTTTGGTAGATTTGTGCAAGTCCTCGCCCACTGTGTGGAACTCTCTGTTGAAATTCAGCAGTCCACCGGTCTTTTCATCGGTCTTGTTCAGAACCTCGTCAACTTTGGCTATCCACACTTCATGATCTTGCACCTGTAGGCTCTTCACCTTTGAACAGATCATAATTCTCTCAACTTTGGTCAAGATGGGCAAGGAACAGCCCGTGGCCTTGTCATATATCTCATATTCCTCTGTCGAGAGATGTTTAAACGGTTCAAACGGTACGTACTCTCCAAGTGAGTCGTCATAATGCCTGTTGCGTGCAAACAGCCTTGCTAACTCACAGCTGTACTGTGTAGGCGTGAGTATATGAAGGGCAAACTTCTCGTACGCATGGAGATACGTGGACGTCAGAGACGGCTTCATCAGGTTGAACTGCACCATTGGATCAGGGTTTATGGAAAGTGACGTGACGCTCGACAGCGTCACACCTTTATACACCGGGGAGGAGGTCTGTGATGAAGCAGCCGTGAGGATCATGACATGAGAAGCGATGGAGGACATCGCCTCTCGGAACTGAGCATGTGTGTCGGTGGACACGGATCTTCGTAGCAGCTTGTTTAGCATCATCTGGAGGCCTGTTGGTGTTGATCTGCCACGATTCAGAGGTGGAAATGTTGAAGAATTTTCCACTATGTATATATGTCCCGGGGAAGCATTGGGCGATGAGGGAGTAAATGGATAGAACGGTTTGACGGTGTTGCGGGAGGAAATTGAAGGAGATGCTCGAGGAGATGGTAGTAGAGGCTGGTGGCACTCGGCAGCCAGGGAGAATATACCAATTGAGGCGTTGTGAGCCGGCGTTGTGAGCCAGCGTAGCGGAGAGCTTCAGGTGTGCTGTATTTAATACCGCTTACATAAGCAAACTGCTATATAGGTAACACCTTCACTTCAGTTTACTTCAATCTTCACCAAGTCCAGTGGCTCCTGTGGAGCCACCTGGTGTTACTGGACACATCTACCACGCTCGTGCAATCCCCGATGCGCTATATACCAAGGGCCCCGTTGCTGAGGTCCCCTGTGATGGAACTCAGCAACAGATGGGAGAAGAAGATGCCGTCAATTAAGCCAACTATGCCACCTAAGAACCCATTTCTCAGGGCCTTGAGCTCGCCGTTGAGGGTGGATAGGAGCACAAAGCTCATCAAGGTCCCCAGAGACCTGCTGATGACCTTTTCTACTTTCAAAAACCGTGAAGATGGCAAGCTATGGCTGATTCCCAATGTCGAGGGGTTCAAGAGTGGGTTGAGCAATGGATATGGTCCTAATGATTATAGTTGGCTGAGCAGGATGAAGGCGAAGAAGTGGGTATCGCTAGCGAGTCTGGAGCTATTGTCGAACTCTTCGAATATAACGAATATCCAGGACGTCAATTGGAATGAGAGAAACCCGGAGTTGATCAATGAGCTGTACTGTAAGGTGATCTCACAGTGTGATTACACTGTGATTGACGACACCCTACCGATGAGAATCGTCTGTGACGAGCACCACGGTCTGCTAACTGTTTCGAAAGACCTCATCATCGTCAATTTGGACAAGGTTGATCTTGACATTGGCCAATTCAAACAGTTAAAGCAAGAATTGGATGGTCAAATTCTACAAAATTCCAAAGCTATTGATGCTATATTGAAGTTTATCGCTTATAACCGGCACAGGCCTATTTAGTTCTCTGCTTTTTATTATTGAACCTTTCATTGATGACCTCGTACGACTCGTGTAGTTCCCTCTTGTCCAAAGGAACGTATTGCGCCATCACTCTACCCTTGCCATCTCCCAAGTTGATTCTGATTGCATTGTTACTGTGCTTTGACTCTGCACGGAACTTTTCAAGCATCATTGTTGATATCTGTGAACGTATCTGCAATTCCAGCCAATTGGAGTATATCGTGGTGTTTGTACGGTCGTTCTTGGTGCCCTCAATGGCTTCAATCCACTCCATCTCCGGGAATTTGCAATCATAAAGCACCAAGGGCAAGTCAGATGCCATCTCGAACACAGGCTTTGTTGGGAACGTATGTGAAACGTCCAATAGCTCTCTAACAACTCCTGGAGACTCGAGTCCTTGTCCAACCAAGAACAACACCGCAACCATGTTTCTGACCTGATGCCACAGGAAGGCACTGCCTTCCAGGTCGAAGCAGTAGAATCCATTGTTCAACTCCAGGATTCTCGATTGCAACATGGTTCTCTTATAGTTGGTGATCTGTTTGGAGCCATCAAGTTTACAGAAGTTCCGGAAGTCGTGCTCACCGACATAGTGGTGCGCAGCCTCCTCCATCTTTGCAATGTCGAGTCTCTCTCCATGGAAGATATACTTGTAATGTCTTGATATACAGCTGAACCTTGCGTCGAATCCTTCCACTGGACGGAGGCATATGGAATGAATCTTGATATCCTTTGGCAGTAGACAATTCAAAATGTTCAGGTAGTCGATCTCTCTGGGGTCGTTGGACTTCACGCCCTGCTCTTCCTGTGTCAGATTGCTTCTCACTCTGAGCGAAATCACCTGGTTCATGGCACTAACACCTCTATCAGTTCGACCACATCGACTGAATTCGCAGCCCTGAGGGTTAGAAGCATCAGAGATCAGCCGGCATTGCTCCAACGCTTGCAGAATCACTCCCTCCACAGTGGGCAGCGGAGTCGGGTCCTTCTGTACTGCCAGGCCGTTGTAGTTCCACCCCAAGTAGCTGAACCTCAGTGCAATCTTTCTAGTTGAATATTTGGAGAAATCTATAGGTCTCTGGCCCTTCGACTTCTGTTTATGGAACTTCGGCGCAGATGAGCCACTTTGTTGAATAGTCTTCTCCAATTGCACAATCCTTTCAATCAAGGCCTCTCTAGTCCAGTCGACATACTTTGAGCCCATCTTCAGCATCGTTTTCAAGTGGTTAATCGGTGATTTCGATAGTGATTTATGTCTCGTGAATTTTTCACTGCGCTTCTCGAGAGCCTGCTAAAAAAATTTTTTTTAGCAGAGGCCTTGGGAAGCTCATCGCATCTCTTCGCCTAAGCTGAGACACAATTAAGCCAGGGAAGATCAGCACAGAGAAACACACACAAGGAGGCTGAGGATGTCTAAGTCACTTGATTGGAAAGAGCTCAAGAACCTGTCTGATTGGCTGAAAGATGCCATTGATTCGATGGGATTTGAGCAGATGACACCGGTTCAGGCTTCCACGATCCCACTGTTCTCGAGAAACAAGGACGTTGTTGTTGAAGCCGTGACCGGGTCTGGTAAGACGTTGTCGTTTGTTATACCGATCCTGAATAGAATCAGCGCACAGAAGGATAGAAAGGAGCTGTTTGGCCTTGTCGTTGCGCCAACTAGGGAGCTGGCGTTACAGATTGAAAAGGTGTTTGATAGTGTGTTGAAGTTTAACCCCAAGGAGGACATAACGGTCCAGACCGTTGTCGGGGGTGTACAGACGCTGACTGAGGACGTTAGAGAGTTCAAGAGATCCAAGCCTGATGTTGTTGTTGGGACTCCTGGTCGTTTGGAGCAGTTCTTTGGCAAGGTGATACCCAAATCAGTGGAGGTGCTCGTCCTTGATGAAGCAGACCGTCTGTTGGACTTGAACTACCAAAAGGAGATGGACTTCATCTTTACTTCCCTACCTAAGCAGAAGAGAGTTGGACTGTTCAGTGCTACGATGCTCTCTGAGGTGGCAACTCAAAACTTGCACAGAACAGGCTTGAGAAACCCGGTCAGAATCGTTGTCAACGCAAAGGGCCATAAACCAAAGACCCTTCAGTTGAACTACACAGTCACTGAACCAATGGACAAGCTGATGAAGCTATTAATGATCCTGAACAAGTACCATTTCCAGAAGAGCATAGTCTACTTCCCAACGTGTGTTTCAGTGGAGTACTTCTACGCTCTTCTGAGACATTTGACACATCACTACCAGCTCGAACTCTCCTTCTTTTCATTGCATGGCAAGCTGAAATCACAGGCAAGAATCAGAACCATGGATAAGTTCGACAAGTCTGTTGAGGCCAAGTCCGTTCTCATGACCACGGACGTTGCTGCTAGGGGCATCGACGTTGCCAATGTTGACCTGGTTGTTCAATTCGACCCTCCACAAGACCCTGACATGTTCGTCCATAGATGTGGTAGGGCTGGTAGGGCAAATAGACAAGGTCAAGCAATCACACTGTTGAATGAAGGCAGAGAAGAAGATTACGTTGAACTGCTAGAAGTAAAGGGTATCGAACTGGATGAATTGAAAGTTGAGGACTCCTCTTTCGGAGATTTCCACCGCGTTGTTAAGGATTGGATGCTGAAGGATAGATCAAGACATGATAAGGCTGTTCGAAGCTACGTCAGTTTTATCAGGTACTACTCTAAGCACACAGCAACTTCCATCTTTAGACTGAAGGAGCTGGACTACCTGGGTGTGGCGAAGAGTTATGGCCTCCTAAGACTCCCAAAGATGCCAGAGATCAACGGCGACTCCTTCCCCAAAGATGGGTTCCTCGACACTTCCATCAACTTCAGAGAGTATTCGTACTTGGACGAGGCTCAGGAGGCAAAGAGGCTGGAGGAACAGGCAATAGAAGACAAGAAGCTACAAAATAAAGAAAAGAGGAAAGAGAAACGTGAAAATAAAACAAAAACAACATCAGATAATACAGCTTGGTCCAAATCAAAGTCAAACAAACAGGATAGAAGTGACAGATTCCAACAGTCTCAAACCGCAAAACGGAGAAGAGATTTGGAGTTGGTTGAAGATGACGGTGAAGAAGACGATTCAAGCAAAGATTGGAAAGAACTAATAACACAGAGTAAACAGGAAAAGAGATTGAAGAAATCTGGTCAACAGGTGATGGGAGACTTTGACGGTCTTTAGAAAAACCACCTCAGTGGAAGTAGTTTATACAAAACTCCGGCTCTGGGAAGTCAATTGCATTAAACAAGTCATCTTTGGATCTGAGGTTCGAATATTTCGTATCGCATAGTTCGTTTAGCTTGTCAAAGCCCTTATCGAGCGCATCCCATGATTCAGTACCAATGGTCAGGAAGCTCGAATAGAATCCCGTAAAGTCAATCTCCTCACCTTGATAGTCAAATTTCAATTCAAATGCATTGATCTTGCCCTCACGATGACGTTTTAATATATGCAATATGATCTTCGCACGGTTTTGCAAACGCCAAAGCTGAACATATTGCTGTAAAACAGGGAATTTGTTTAACTCTTCAATGATGCTCAAGAAGAATTTGAGTAAAGATGAGTAAGGAGTTTTAAAATACTCAAATCTCAATAGGAAACTTTGCAGATGTTTTAGCAATCTCTCCAAAAGTTTAAATATGAATTCAAAGAGATAAAACTCATAGCCAGATTTGAAATAGTTGTTGTAATTTTTCAAAACGTCCAGCGATTCTTGAAATGAGTTATAGCACACTTGTTGATACTCATTAATGAATTTCACTACTTCACCTTTTGGAGCATCTGGGTAGTTTTCATAATGCAACATAACAACGGCAAGAACGTTGGCCTTTGTCATGTTGTGCAAGATAGAATTCATCAGACGACTGATTTTCTCGGCATAGTTATAACTAATTTCATTCTTGTTTTCGTTAAAGCTTCCAAATTGTTGGTCAAATACTTCATCATACTCTTTTAACAACTTGCACACAGTTCCAACACTTAGCTTGTGGTGCGGCTTATGTAAAGAGCTGACCAAGTGCCTAGCAGATTTGAACACCTCAACTTGTTTTTCATAGTTGATGTTGATTGACTTCATAAAGATCTTGCCTATACCCACCCCAGCTTCTGAAAGTTTCACATTGAAAAAATCCTCCGTAAGGAAAATTGGCAGTCCGTGTTGTATACAGACGGAGAAGTAATAGACATAGATGTAGTACCAGATATGCTTTAAATTCTCCTCGTCGCCAATTTCGCCATCAATATTCAAATTTAACTGAAGTGCCAACGCCATCAATGTCGAAGGACTCAAGTTCAATGGTGTAACGCCGTCAAAAGAGATTGTCGAAAGAAGTACCTTCATTAGAGTGAGTTTCAACCTAGTTTCATCGCTGACGTTGAACTTCGTAATTGTGTTGAAGAATAGATCAATGTATAGCTCTAACTCATGTGATGGTTTGCAGCTCTTCAGCAGATAGTCAGAAGATTTGTCCAATCTTGTCGTCGTCAAGAGACAAATTTGCATGATTCTAACGACAAACATCAACTTCAAACAGATTACCAAATCTTCGTTATTATCAAGAGATATGTTAAATTTGGTATCAGCTTCAGGTGACTCAGGTGGACCAATCACACGTGCTAAGTCCTTGGTAAATTTTTTCTCCTCAAGTGTAGGACAAAAAGGTTGTGCGATATCGAGAAAGAACCTCTCCACCAGCAACCAGACAATCTTGTTCTTCGGTAAAACTTCTTCAATTTTTTTGATGAATTCAACCAAGCTTTGAGGTTCTCTGTAAAATCTTTCGATTTCGTAGCTAGGATTCTGAACCAGTCGAGTAAACCTGTTCGATGGCGGAGCTCTTGGTATGGCATCAAGTTTCATGAGGTAAAAGTAAAAGATCGAATAGATCTTATCCCTCTTCAAGAGGGAATTGTTTTCCAAGAGACCATTACACTCCAACTTCACCTTTTTCATTTGTGGACAAATCATGTTGTGGAAATCGATAAGTTCATATGGTTTGAACAAGGATGGATCAATGACGCTTTCCGGTTCCACCTCAATTCTTTGACGCTTATTTGGAGAAAGAATATGCGGTTCCTGGTTGCTGATAGGTGGAAGATGTGACTGAAAAGGTGGACGATGTGGAAATGGACCCATAACATCTGGGAATGGAGGTACTGGCCTTAAAGGTTCGACAAGTTCACCCGGTGTGCGGGACTGTGCGGTATAGCTTGGCAGCTGATTTGGGCCAGGTGGGAAAGAGTTCCAATAATCCATCATAACAGGTCCACCGTAACCCATCGGTGGTTGACCTGCCATTGGATACATACCAGGAGTCGGTATTCCCATTGGGGGCCCACTTGCGAACGGTCTTGAGTCGTACATCGGAGGAGGTGGAGGTGGAGAATTTAGTGGCACTCCTTGTGGAGGGAAACCATGGTTCATGGGATGTTGAGCTTGAGCTTGTGCTTGTGGCCCATGTTGGTACTGAAACTGTGGATATTGGTTTGGCAACGGTTGACTCTGCGATTGTTGGTGCATAACACCACTGTGTTTCATGTCCATGATGGACATTGATTGGTGAGTACCGAGAGAAGGGGTGCGTGGATCGTCATTCTGATCCCACCCTCCAAAGTTTTCCTCATAATGACACAGATGACTTGCATTGGACTTCTTACAAGAAGTACAAGCCGGCTTCAAACGATCACACTAGAAAGCAAACCCATGTTAGTACCCTCATCTTGTAATGCTTCAAAATAAAAGTATGTACCCTCCTCCACCCGGAATTAAGCCACTTAAAAACAGTAAACAAGCGGAGTAAAATTTTGGGGACATGGGAAGGATATAAACTCACCCTAATCTTTCGCTTTCTGCAAACTGTACAAACAACAGGTTTCCTATTCCTCTTACGTGGTTCCATTACTTGATTCCTTGAATATTTCAATTGACCAGAAGTTCGTCAAAAGAGAGGGGTCGGCCAAAAATTCTTCTTCAAAACTTCGAAAAACCCTGTGAGTGAGGTGAAATCCCTTACATAAGCAATTAGTCATCAGACATATCTTCTCCTGGTGTTAATATAATAGCTATAATAATAATTATGATTATAATAACTTAGTGATAATGATAAGACAACGATTTGAGGTATAGCTCTCACTGGTTTTAACAAAAACAAAACAAAACAAACAAACAAACACATCAAGAAAATAATAAAATGTTAACAGTTCATTGCGACGAACTCAATAGTCTCTTCATCAATTTGGCATTCTCCTCTTCCAGTTTGGTACATCCAGTTTGCATCTTTTCGATCTCTTTGGTAAACTCACCCAATAATCCATTTCTTTTGTCGTTACGGATCTGTCTGGATGTTATTCTTGCAGTCAGATCGCTCTTGTAGAGCGAGTCCAACTCCTTCTCAACTTTGGATAGTTCCGTTGAAAACTTGTCAGCCTTGTTCTGAAGCCTATCCCTCTTGGAGGTCAAGTTGTCCAAATCAACATTCAAATCAGAAAGTCTTGTACGTTTGGTATCCACGCGACCATTATACGTGTTCTTGAAATTCTGGAAATTCCTCAACTGTTGTTCGAACTTCCTCTTTTCAACGATGTATACTTCGTAAACTTCCGTCTCCTGGGTTTCAATTTGGGCAAGCTCATTTTCAACTTTTGACACGTCTTCTTCAGCTTGTTTAACAGAGGTTCTCAACATGGAAACTTTGTTCCAATTCTTGAGATCATTATTATCACTACTGCTTATCCGGCTCTTCAACTTGTCAATCTCCTGCTTATATGAGTTTAGCTTCTTGCTGATCTCTTTACGTTGCTTCTTTAACTTCACTCTCTCCTGATTGAGATTGTCAGTAGTGGTGATTAAGCTCTCTTGGAGTGTAACTAAAGGAGATAGAACCTTGCTGCTTGTGCTTTTAGCAGTAGAGATATTGTTCCCATCTTTGTCAACAGTACTAACAATCAAATCGTCAATAAGATACTTTTTCTTATTGCCAAACTCATCCTTTTCCTCGATGATAAATTGGACATCGTATTGAGAGAGTGGAGTCAACCCACCAACAATGAAATATTCCTCATCGTTGTGGTCACCTCTCGAAACCTGATACCAGATGATCCCGTTCACTCTGATGATGATATCACCATGGTTATAGTTTTTCAACTGGAAGCTGATGAGCGTTTCCCCAATGTAGTCAACAAAGATTAGGATTCTATTCCTCTTAAAGCATTGGTCAAAATTGGCAAAGACATAATCGTCATACTTGTTGATATAATCGGAGAGGATCAAGGAATTATCATCTCCTTTGTTTGCCTCGACTTCACCAGAATAGATATCCTTACGAAGTGACATCGCCTTCAAGGTAGCAACAAAACACCATATAGGTTGGATACCTTTCAGTGAGCTTTTAGCTCTTGAAAATATAGCAGAACAGAATACAACAAAATTCCCAGCAACTATATTTCGACTAGATAATGCATCTGAAGGTTCTGTCTCTGGATATGAGGCAGGTGTTTCCATGGAGTAGTCATTTTCATCCCAGAGAACAAGCTTCGTGTCGGCTTGCTCTTGAGATACCTCCACCGAAACAATCTTGAACTCCCTTGTTCGATCTTTTACAAGCACGGGATGTATCGTTTGGATGTGCAAATCGGAATGCAACAGTGCAAATTGGTTGATTGATCTTGAAAAAAAGTTATTTTTGAAGATGCTTGTGAATGAAATCAGAATGATATGGATAGAGAGCATGAGATTGAGAACATCGATCAAAAACTTGAAACATAGGTAAAATACTTCTCTATAGGTGTTGTATGAGTAAAATTGGAGATACTTTTGTTGCCAATGGGCATAACTTGAAAACAGTGTTGAAAAAAACTGAAACAGATGAGAGTTCGAAGTGGATAGATGTGGGAACAGCGAATGCTGTGACGTTATACTGAACCCGAATTGTTGGAGTATGTACAGAGAAGCCATCCCAAACAATTTATCAGAGGTCAACGCTATAGACATCGCCAATATCACTGAGATCCAATCACCTCCACATAGGCTTGCCGATAAGATCGCCTTCGAAAGCACAAGTGCCACTTTGGTCATCAGCGGACCTGTAAGCTTCAAAACAATGCACAGAAACACATCTGAGACGATGATCAGTACAAACGCTGACAAGTAGCTACCGCTGTGTTCGTCTTCTTGCTGCTGCTGCTGCTGCTGCTGCTGTTGCTGTTGTTGCTGTTGTTGCGCTTGCTCAGACTGTTGCTGTTTACGCGATGATGCGGTCACTGTGGACATTGCGTGTGGGTTACCATTGAGCAACAACCTTGACGTTAGAGAGACCGCCCACCTCGTCCCCATTGAGGCCAATGTATACAACGCCAGCAGAGCGCCGCTGAACATGGGCGGCAACGCTAGCAACACCATCAACAGCGCCACCGTATCCTTTAAGGAGTAGTTCGGTATTATAGGCACCAAGTCCATCTCTCACCACACACAGGCTCTGCCCCAGTTTCTATCTCTGTATCTCTTTGTCTTCTTCCAGATCAACAAGAGTTATGAATGTGCAGAAAAAAAAAACCACACGTAGTAGAAGAAGAGGAATCGAAGGAATGGTCCAAACAAACGGTCTGTGTGTTGTATACAAAACTTCCTTCCTCTTTGACTTTGTTTGTGTTGATCTCAGCAAGTTGAGCCTCTCGTAAGGGGTTTGTCTTTGGAAGAGCTCTTTCTGTGTAGTTTTAAATAGTCTTGCGAAAGTAAACAATGATCGATATTAGCGCTATTTTTTTCACTTTTCTGTGTGTGGAAAAATTACATAGTGTAGAAATGAAACGTGATGACTCACGTGATCAGAATTTAGACTATGGTATATTGCCAACATCTTACAACTATCAAATGGGGAAGGGGAGATGACTTACCCTTTCTGGAATAATCACTACATGTGTCCTCTTGAGACTGCAGGAGGAAGCATACTGGCTAGGCAGCAATGGCTTGCAAAGGGTGCTGTATCGTAGCCTCAAAAACATTCTTCAACTGAAGACACAGGGTGTTTGGAAAAGAAACTCTGAGAACTCTTGTTGAAGTCCCAGAAAACTCTATATCAGAGAAGAATGGACAAAGGCGAATACCAACGTCTCTTGTATTGGGCATATTTGACTAGAAGCATGGTTGTATAGACAAAATTTGCTGGCATTTCAGAGAAATAATGACAACGATATCGGGCTTTCCCACGGTAGAGAGTGCAATCTGCATACCCTTGCATAAATGTCTCAGTGATGGTCCAGTAGTCATGTACAAACCTCAAAAAGTAGTTGAGTTGCTGGGGATATGGGACGTTTCCAGTGGTTACTGTGTTGCTATTTGGAAAAGTTTTATAAAAGATTTAGAAGTCGAAAGATTCTGTGAAATGATATCAACTAGTAGAGAGGAAGCGGACGCTCAGGGTGTGTGTGTTTTACGCCTTCTTTCTTTCTCTCTTTCTGGCCTTCACTGCACATCAGTCAACCTCGTACTACCATACCAACAAGTTATGAGACCTACTGCTAATAAAAGACAGCGTGGCGTTAACTCGACACCTCCTTCTGCAGGGTATCGAAAGAGTTCGAAGATCTCAAGGCTGTTCGTAGCTACAACTCCCAATGGCATGTCAAAAAGGTCAAGATTGCCGGAACCTCTGCGGTTGGACTCTTTAACTCCACCACCAACTGTGGAGAGACAGCGTTTGAGCCATATAAGTCCTACGCAGCAAATCACAAAGCTCATAGATGGATCTTCATCGCCGGCATCCACCTTGGACTCTCCGACTCCTATGCAAAGACCGTCAAAGAACTATATGAAGGAGCAGTGTGGGTTTTGTGAGGAATTGATGGTGATGAGGCTTTCCACTGAAAAGGTCTTGGAATTGAGCTGTAACCACAAGTGCCATTACAACTGTTATAGAGTTCTTTTAAACAAAGATGACATCACTGACCTGCCAATATGCTCACTATGTGGAGTCAAGTCAAAACCAGTTGATGATGCAATTCTCGAAGAGATGTATTCAGAGATCTTGATAAACCAAAATACAGAAGATTTTGGTTTCGAAGAGCAATTTGATAGTATCACACCAATTGTGGATACTGTTTTACCTCAAATACCACCACAGTCAGGATTCAAGTCAAAATTCCTGAATTGGGCAATCCCCATGACACCCTTGGATAAAATGACTGACCAGTTGAACTCATCCGGGTTTCATCCAACCTGTGACTACTATACTTCCAACAATCCATTTACACCATCAACCGTGTCAACGCCAACGTTCATACCAAGCTGGTCCAAACAAGCCTCTCCATCAGTCATTGCAGATGACTTGTTGAAACCACAAGTTTCAATTGTTGGCGAATTTAACAAACATACTATCAACAATACTGTATCAAGCTATACCATTTCACATTTGGTCAATATCTTTACAAATGAAATCGAGGAAGAAAAGACCAGCGAGGACTTCAAGTTGAGATCCGATATACATAACAAGGTGATTTCAATTTTCAAAGAGAGAATTGTTGATCTTAAGGGCATAGACTTGGACAAGCTACCCCCGTTGACAATCTTTGATCAATTTGAAATTTCAATCGACGGTGAGTCTTGGGAAACAGTCAATGGATTCGTCTTTACTTCGACTTTGATATTGGTACACGAATCATTCAGTACAATTGTAGGTTCGGTGTTACTAAGGGATCACTTCACTAACTCTGTTCTTCAGCATGGTGATTTGACCTTATTCTTCTCCACAATGACTTTACCAGAGCTACAAATAAGATCCAGCAACCAAGTTGTGATGTCCAAATGGGATGACTTTTTTGCCTACAAGCTGAAGCGAAATGGTCAAATTCCTTTGATTCAGATGAGCACTAATAATTGGTGCTTGGTAGATGATGGAACTTTGGATATTCCTGAAGATGCCAGAAAATTCAACAGGCTAACAGAGAAGGGCCTGGACTTGCCCTTCAACATTATGAAACAAGTTCTTCCTGCACCAAAAAGGCTACCACTGAATCTTATTGTCAGTGTAACCCTATGTAACACCACGCCCACGTCCAATGAAGAGTACGACAGGGACATCAAGCACTGCTTACGCCTGATACTTGCCCACTTAGAACCACAGGATAGATTTGGACTTGTGGTTCTAGGTAGATCAGGCGAAAGAGAGCCTGTTCCTGCAGCTTCTACTTTCTACGGCATGACTTCTTCTTCGTGGAGTGGTTGGGAAGAAATCATTGAAGACCTGGAGAGTTATGCCTCTGGAACACGTTGCGAGATGTCTAGCGTTGTGAGGAGTTTGAAGAAGCTGTGTATTGTGGTTCCAGAACTGTGTGATGAAGGTGTCATAAAGAAGCTTGTTCTCATACGATGTGCTGATGCCCTTGATGTTTTTACTCCTGATGACTTCCAGTGGATCATGGATAAAGGTTTTAGTCTCTGTGACTGTCTTGTCTCTGAGCACTACGATGAGACGACGGATTCTTTGGTTCAACTGATACACAATGAACACCGCTACCAGTACCAACTGGCCAGGTACCGAGATTTCAGCCAATTCCACTCCAAGGTCACCAACATGGTTGAACATTTCCAAAAGGTCTATACCAGCGATTTCCAATTGACAATGGAGATCGAAGAGTCATCACCATTTGCATTTGCACAAGTTGAAAGCCATGGAGATATGTGCACGCCACAGGATCCACACCATTTAACTATAAGCTTAAAGGACCTGGAAGATGGGTATTACCATAATTCCAGATTCGACATCGCCATTGACACTAAGAAACTGTGTGAATCGTATCCATTGGTGAAGAACGCCTACCATGATGTATCCATCTTGAAATGGCAGTACAAATGGAGAGGTAAAACGGTTACTAAAGAGCTCAGTGTCACGCTCGGGATCAGTAATGCTGATAACACGAGCTCCACCTCGCCTGTGGATAGAAGCTTCACCGGCACTAGAAGCTCGAGTTATATGGATATTCCTCTTCTGCCACCTTTGTCCAGTTTCAAAGACTCATTGTACATCAAAAAGCAGGTTGAATTGTTAGTCATCGAGACGCTTACACAGAACAACATGAGCGTTCACGAACTGATTTCCATGATCTTTGGGCTGATACGGGGCTGCTCAACCAACCATGTAATGTTCTTCAAACATTCGAGATTCAACAAGTTCAAGAACTTTAGCATGTATATGGATCAACTTCTCAGCCAACTAGGCGCAATTGAAGACGAGACTTCTAGGAAAGACATCTTATACAGTTTGAAATTTCGGGAGGAGGTATAGCTTCTTAATATGTACACCTAATGAAAACAGTTGATTGGTTTAGCTGACTGACGTAGGCTTGCGAGATCAAGCAGCTGTGGCTTCAGGGTCCTTCTTCTTCTTCTTCTTCTCCTCAACTTGCTCCACTTTGATGTCATTGAGCCCCTTTTCCTTCAACAAGGACGTGATGTATGCTTCAACCTGATCACCAACGTCACCTTGAACAACAATCTCCTCCTTCTTATCTGCGCCCTTTGTGACAGAGCAGCCAGTAGCAAACTTCGAAGCAAACGTCTTTGCCAGCTTCTTCATGTCAATATCAAACACCTCCAAACCTGAGATGGCGATGGCATGTTTTCTCTTGGTTCTCTCGATTCTCTTCAACGTCACTTTGGACTCCAACTTCTTCTTCAACTCCCTCTCCTGCTTGGCCTCTTCCTTGGCCTGTTTCTTCTGTAAGTCCTTCTCAATCTTCTCCTGCTTCTCTACACTGAGTGTGGAGGTGGCGTTCGCCAGGGCCTCCTCGGAATATAATTGGTTGAACAACTCCGGATCCTCTTCCTCTAACCATAGTTTGCACTTCTTGAAGGACCCACCAAACTCACAGTACTCTGGAGGGAACGAACAGACACCACAGTAAAGCACGTCTTTTGGTTTAATCTTTGTTTTTTATTCAGGTTAGTTGCATTGTTCATGGCAATGGCCTTCCCAGGGTCGGCTACTCACCTCAACTTCAGCCATTGTAAATATGAATACGATTCTAATTAGTCTACGGTGGAGATTGTGCGTGGGTTCAGTAGGAAAAAGTGTCGACACCCATAAAATTTTCAAAGGTGTTGATGATGATTGCCGGGAGCTTATACCGTAGCGATGACTACGAAAAGGCCCATATTTGGCGAAATCATAATGGATAGAGAAGATTACGGACCGGGGTTGAGTCGACAGGACACGCTCTGGTGAGTACATACACCGGTGAACTACCCTCTTGAAACGAATATACACACTGTCGTAGTCCACACGAGGAGGTGGTGAATTGTTACATCCAGACACCACTTAATAAACACTGCTTGGTGATCTTACGGGAGGCCTCCCATTGGTGTTTGGATGTTATATGACACAACCGTGAGTCCGGCCTTAGCTGCTGTCACTCACAACTGCGTAATTACTCAATTCACTACGTGTTAATGGTTTGTTCTTTGTATTTGTGTTGAATGTGCATTATAAATAGTGGTAGACAGAGTGGATCAAATCAGATGTTTTGTTCATCCAGTGTCTTAAAGTAGAAAGTCTTTGTCTCCTTTGGATACTCAATTCCCAACTCCAGCAACTTTTGAAAGTCCTTAGCAAAGTCCTTGAAGAACAAGTCCTGGTCTTTGGCATACATCTCAACAATCTTCTTGTACTTTGGATCCTGCACCAAAGCCATATCAGTCGGAAGCATCATCAAACCATCTTTGTTCTCCCATTGCTTTGGACCGTCCCACTCTTTCCAGTGCCATGACTTGTCATCAACAAGCAGCTTGAAGAACTCATTTGTGAAGTAGTTTGGAGAAGCTGTCCATCTGTTGGTGTAGCCGGAACCTGGAATTGGCTTCTTCTGTCCTGGCAACAATGGAGCATAAACGTGACATGAGCCGAGGGCATGAGCACCGATAAGAGAGACAACCTCACGGTCTTCGAAACCCATGCGGGCAAACAAATGTCTCACATAGTCGGCATCCTTAGATGCATCGGGCAATCTCGATGTCATTGCATTGTCTGCTGACAGCTCTTTACGTCCTGCTCTCCATCCAATCTTTGGTCCACCCATCTCCTGGATAGCTGTAACACCACCTAGAGTGACCAAATCACCCCATGAAATCCAATCAAACTTGTCGTGGATCTTCTTCATAAACCACTCGGCATTTTGCAAACCGTTGTTAGCACCGTCTCCCAGCTCCTTAGGCCATCTAATAGTACCACCAAATGAGCCACCAGTGGCATGAGGACAACCGCTAGACGCTTGGGCATAGGTACCACTGGAGTGCCATGCGTAACGAACCAGTACTGGGCCCCATCCGATATAGTCATCATACTCATCGTTATCACGGATTGCCTCTGCAATTGCGTTGTAGATTTTCTGATAGTCACCCTCCACGTGTGAAACCTTTTCAGCATGGAAAGGAGTGTTGGCAATGGCAGCAGCAGCCATCATCTTACCGCCGTTAGGACCATTTCCTTGTGGTCTCTTGCCGTAATGGGAGTATACATAGGTGCCCGAGACCAGGGCAGTGGCTCCTGAAAGAGCATAGAGTGCTCTTCTCGATATTCTTGGGATAGCAAAGGTTGCCATGATGCTTAGAGAGTGTGAACTAAAGTAGTCTAAACCTGTGCCGTGATAAATTACTGGATGGATATAGAACAGTAACACAGGAGTTCCGGCTTCCACCTTCTTTATATAGAAACAGAGTCAAAACACTCTCCCCACTTGAACATGCTGGCTCAAAAGTTTTCAAGCAACTCTACAGATGGCACGATTATAAACAACGGTCACTCTTAGTCAACTTGCAACGATCTGGAACTTTCCTCCCCTTAATAATCCTATGACGTAGCATGCAGAGTTTGTCAGTTCGCCCACCAGTGCCTCTGAAGCCCGCTACGTTACGCTATGAATTATGTCTCGAAGAGGCTTGAACTGTAAGCAGACGGTAGCCAGGCATGGGGCTCATCGCTGCTTGCTGAGTAAACACTAATTAAGCCTTGTGATTGGTCAGTGGGAAGGATAAATGTTGCCCGGCCCAAGCCAAAAAAAGAGGAATTGATCATCTAAAATTCCGACATGCATCTCAAAACTGCATCAAAATTCCGGTTACGAGAGGAGAGGAGAAGGTGTTCCGATATGTCCGGAGAGGTAGACATCCAAACACCTCAACACCCGTACATCAGCTTGCGTCAGCTTACATCAGCGTTGTACCTATGTATACACTTCTTGCCTGTTCTATACACACCGAATCTATACGGTTAATGCTTCAATCTTTGTTGAAAGATCTCAGGGTTGTGCTGACTGCTTCATAAACCCCCAGGAATATAGCACCACCCGCACTGATCCACATGGTTCTTGGTCCAACTCCGCTGAAGAACACTTTGATACCCTCCTCTTTTAAGATGGTCTTTGCCAAATGCAACACTCCCACTCTCGTGTCTTCCAGCATGATTCTTGTCTTCAAGACGTCTAGTGGGGTTGTGACTGCTGCTGCGAAGCCTCCAGCAATGGAGCCACATAACGCACCTTGTAATGGGTTCACCTTCTCAACCTTTTGCTTCAGTGCCCATTTCTTCTTTAGCCATTCGTACAGCGGGAATTGGATCATGGTGAAGGGTATCTCACGCATGATTGTTGTAGACCAGCCTCTGTAGAACCCTCTGAGCCCTTCACCTCCGTGATTGTTCCACAATGCTTGGAACGTTTGCCATGACGATGAGAATTTTGAAGTCTGTGTACGCTGCTTGATGACCTCAGCTGGTACTCTAACAAGACACGCAGCGACTTCACCACACGATGCAGACGCCATATGGGACAGTGCACTTGCAACGTCTTGGTTGGCAATCTTTGATTGCAGTCTCGGTGTGAGAAATGACTTCATGGAGTCATAGGTGACAAAGAACAGCGACGCAGATGGTGCGCTCGCAATCACTGCAGATCCCAATCCACGGTAGATCCCCTTCCACCCACCATTGGCGAAGAAACCACCTTTGGCCTGTAATCTTGTCTTGACGGTATCTATGGGGAAAAATGTGAGGTCAGTGGAGGTACCAGCTGCTGCACCACTCTAGTGAAAGTTGTTAGCGATTCTCTAACGAGGACCTGCTCTCTGAACAGGCCCGAATAAAGCACACCCTCCTGCTCTAAAAGAAAACATACAACCAGCGATATAAGGAAGTCATTGCTGGACATTTCAAACACTATCAATGTCTCTCTCTTCGACCACAAGACCTGCTCTAAGAAACCTCCAAGGCCTATTAATACCCGACAAGAGAGAGAGAGAAGCCAAACACCCTCGGGCCTCGGGGCCCAGAGATGAGGTGCCGCGAATATTCCCTGATATGGCAAAGATGACTCGTGACTCAATGGCCGGTACCAGCTCGCTTCGTCCACCGCTCGTAGTGGCACAACGGGTCGGCAGCATCGATCACGACGGCGTGTCCTGGTCTGGTGGCTCACCAGTAGGTCAACTGCGTGCCTGGCTTGCCCACGGAGGAAACGACTGGCTTTGTAGCAGTTGCTCCGCACCAAAATGGAGGCTTTGCTGGCGAATCAGAGCTCGAGCTACGACAGGGTAACCCCGATGGCGAACACCCGGACACCACTTCCGCTTTGGGAAATCATCACCGCTCCGGAGACGGGGGAAGGTTCACCTCTGTGTTGAAAAGGCTTTTTCTCTCTTCCATCATCAGCTCCATTTGCTGTTGTAAGCTGGTCACTAAGGAGGGTTTGAAGTAACGTTGAGATGCATTTGAGAGCGCTTAGACCATTCCCAAGACCTTTGCTCAGCTCGAAGAGATTCGTGTCGTCGACGACGGTGCAGAGGGCCGCCACTGCGACTGCGAGTGCCGCCAACGACCTTGTGGAGGATGACATTGCTTCCTCTGCGCAGCAGCAGAAGTTTGCTAGTGAGACCATCGCCAACAATGCGTTCAAGGCCAACCCTTTGAACGGTACAAGACCGATCTACTTGGATATGCAGGCCACGACGCCTACTGATCCAAGGGTGTTAGACAAGATGCTCCAATTCTACACCGGGCTGTATGGTAACCCACACTCGAATACCCACAGTTATGGTTGGGAAACTGACAAGGAGATTGAAAGCGCGCGTAAGAGGGTTGCCGATTTGATTGGTGCTGATCCTAAGGAGATCATCTTCACGTCTGGTGCCACCGAATCCAACAACATGGCGATAAAGGGTGTTCCAAGGTTTTATCAAAAGACCAAAAAGCACATCATCACGGTGAAGACTGAGCACAAATGTATCCTAGATTCTGCAAGACATTTGCAGGACGAAGGCTTTGATGTGACCTACCTCAGCGTCAACAGTGACGGGTTGATTGATTTAGAACAGCTGGAGAAGGCCATCCGCAAGGATACATGTCTTGTCAGTGTTATGGCTGTGAACAACGAAATCGGTGTCGTCCAGCCAATCGAGGAGATTGGTAAGATCTGCCGTAAACACAAAGTGTTTTTCCACTCTGATTGTGCTCAAGCCGTGGGAAAGATCCCACTGGATGTCAATAAGATGAACATCGACCTCATGTCGATCTCATCTCACAAGATCTACGGCCCTAAAGGTATCGGTGCCATCTATGTCAGAAGAAGACCAAGGGTCAGATTGGACCCAATCATCACGGGAGGTGGTCAAGAGCGTGGATTGAGAAGTGGAACGTTGGCACCACCACTGGTTACCGGTTTTGGTGAGGCCTGTAGACTGATCAAAGAAGATATGGATTATGACCAAGCACACATCAAGAGACTCTCAAAGAGACTCATGGATGGCCTACTTTCCATCGAGCATACTCAGCTGAACGGCTCAAAAGTGCACAGATATCCTGGGTGTGTCAATGTCTCCTTTGCCTACATCGAGGGTGAATCTCTGCTCATGGCGTTGAAGGACATTGCGCTGAGTTCCGGAAGCGCGTGTACCTCTGCGTCTCTGGAGCCTTCCTACGTGCTACATGCCCTGGGAGCTGACGATGCATTGGCACACTCCTCCATCAGATTCGGCATTGGACGCTTCACCACTGAGGAGGAGATTGACTACGTGATCAAAGCGATCCACGAGCGTGTGGAGTTCCTCAGAGAGCTGAGTCCGCTGTGGGAGATGGTGAAGGAGGGCATTGACCTCGACACCATCGAGTGGAGTGGCCACTAACGCTGGCTTGCTCCATTGATGCTGAATAACTCCACCGGCCCTGCATCACTCCACCAACACTGGTTTTATAACGAAAGAATAGTCTGTTTAAGTACCTCTCCATCACCCACCACTGTATCTCTCTCCTAAGCTATCAATTCCGATCAACTCCATACGTCGTCGGAATATCGCCCCAAAACAGCCTCGGCACTGAGCGCGGATCCTCGCTTCCCATTGCCACCCCGGAAAATCCCGACGGAACTTCCCATGGAAAATTACACTGCGCCTAAAGTGACACATCTGTGAGTCATAAAGCCCCCGGTGCGATGATGACGCTTTCCAATGTTCACTTGCTTCTATTTAAAAGCGCTGGCGATGCCTTCTTTTCTCTCTTCTTCCTTCCTTCTTCTTCTCCTTCGCACCACCACACTGTGAAGAGTTCAGTTGTACTGTTCTCTTCTTCCCACTGTCCGTCCTTATATCTCTGTTACTCTTCCTCCTGCTTTCCGACACTACTCTTGTTTGATACCACCATGTTCTACTGAGCCACCTCGCCCTTTCAATTGCATTTCACACGATATATATATACGATAGTAAGAGTCCACGCTGGTAGTAACCGGGGGTTTCCTTGTTCCAACGTGTGCATCGCCAGGAAAGAACACAATGTCAGTCATGGAGTCTTTTCCACACACAGCTCTGTCTTCTAAGAAGACGTCTCATCTCATCACTCCGCCGGCAGACGACCACCACGAGGAGGACTCCAAGGCCCAGTTCGTGCACAGATACATCGACGATGCGTCTGTGTACATTGCTGGCGTGTGGGAAGTTGCCGATGTTGCCGATGTTGCCAAGTACTCCAAGTTCATCACTGAAGTCATCAAGAGGTCGAGATGCTCACTGGAGTGTCTGAAGGTTTGTCTGTACTACATGTCCAAGCTGACCAGCAGCCACGTTGGCTGTCCCAAGAGAGCGTTCTTGGCTTGTCTGTGTCTCAGTTTCAAGTATATCTACGATAGTACCGTGAAGTTGAAGACGTGGAGTAAGATTAGTGGGTTGTCTCCAGGGGAGTTGAAGTCACTGGAGATGACTGTACTGGTTGCACTGGATTACAATTTGAACTTACACGGTGACTATAACGTTGTAAAGACAGTGGCAGCAGGACCAAAGCGGAGAAACGATGGTGAAGAGACAAACACGTCGACTATGAAAAGGCTTAGATTGCACTAGGTGTTGATACTATTATTATTAGAATGAGACTGTTATCTATCGTTCGATGCACTTAACATCTTCCACTGTGAGCCCTTCCTCTGTAGATCGTCCTCCTCAATCAACTTCTTGATGTCGTTTGTCAGCTTCTCGGCAATGGTGAATGCCTTATGGGAACACTCCATCAACGTCAAGGCGTCCATAGGCAGCCCTCCAGCTTTGGACACCTGGCAAACCTCTCTATTCTTGTTTATTGTCACTGTGAGGATACCGTGCTTCAGCAGTTCTTCCTGCATGTTAGGATCCACAACGTAAATCTCCTTGGCATCTCCCTTGATGTTCTGCTCAACGCCATGAGGATTGAAGAAGGCAAACGTCACACAGATTGGCACGTGTAGAATACTCAACCCGACCGGGGACCTTTCGCTGAAATCGTGCACCAGGACTTGCTCACCGGACACGGTGATGTCCTGCTTCTTGTAGTGCTGTAACGCTGTCATGACGGCAATACAACTGGCGTCTATAAACCCTCCGTCGTAGTTCAGCAGGTGTACATCGGCCCTGATACTCCAACATTTGGCCCCAGCTATGATACACAGACTCTCCAGGTCCAGCGCGTTTGATCTCCTTACTGCCTTCTCCACGGTTCTGGTGATGAGCAGCTCGTCGTCGCTCTGGCGTCCTTGCTCGAACATTGGCGACGCCATGGGGCTGATCTCTGTTGACACGGTGAACAACCCTTCAAACGGACGGTCCTCGTATGGGGCTACAATCTCGCTGCTTATACGGCACAGAACCCTTGTTTCGCCCATCGTGACATCGACAGACCCGTACTGCGAGCCCAGCGAGATCTTCACGTCTCTGTACTCGTCCAGCTTACGGCCATCCGTGCGGACCCCCTGTGTCAGTGCATCGATGATGAAGGCCTTCTCGTTGGCTGACGTTTCAATGCCTTTGGCCATTATTGTTTGTCCTCTGTCCTCTGTCCTCTGTCCAGTGTCTCTTGTCCAGTGTCTCTTGTCCTCAATCTGTTACACACGGACAAGAAAAATTTTTGGGACTTTTCCCGCAAGTCCAAACCCAAAAAAGCAAAATACGAAAAAACCTCGAGGGCGACATTTGTCCACACAAAGCACCACCAAAGACCGTTGTGGCAAGACAAGGGACAACAGGACAAAAGCATAGCGAAATGATGTTGAGATCAGCTCTCAGAGTCCCGCAGAGACCGTCGGCCCTGGTAGTCCCAGTGAGACTGTTCAACTCCCAGCAGCCAGTCTCGTTCTTCCAGCAGGAGAGACTGCCGGCAAATACCGTTATCCGTTTCGTACCACAGCAGACAGCATGGGTGGTTGAGAGAATGGGTAAGTTCCATAGAATATTAGAGCCTGGTTTGGCCATATTGATGCCGTTTCTCGATAAGATCCAGTACGTCCAGTCGCTGAAGGAAGCAGCCATCGAGATCCCCTCACAGAGCGCAATCACGTCGGACAACGTGACGTTGGAGATGGACGGTGTGCTGTACATCAAGGTGATCGACGCCTACAAGGCCTCGTATGGCGTGGAGGATGCTGAGTACGCCATCAGCCAGTTGGCTCAGACCACAATGCGTTCAGAGATTGGCCAATTGACCCTGGATCACGTCTTGAAGGAAAGACAGAACCTGAACCACAACATCACGAGTGCCTTGAACGAGGCTGCCAACGACTGGGGTATCAAGTGTCTGCGTTACGAGATTAAGGACATACACCCACCTCAGAATGTCCTGGAGGCGATGCACAGACAGGTGAGTGCTGAACGTTCTAAGAGAGCAGAGATCCTGGACTCTGAAGGTCACAGACAGAGTGCCATCAACATAGCTGAAGGTGAGAAGACCTCCAAGATCTTGGCCTCGGAGGCTGTGAAGCTCCAGAGCATCAACGAGGCCAATGGTGAGTCTGAGGCCATCTTGCTGAAGGCAAAGGCCACAGCTGAAGGTTTGAAGCACATTGCTAGGGCCATTGAAGAGACACCAGGTGGCAGAGATGCTGTGGCTCTTCAAGTGGCTGAACATTATGTCGAAGCCTTTGGCAAGTTGGCAAAGGAGTCCAACACCGTGGTTGTGCCTGCTGGGCTAGGAGATATGGGCTCGTTGATCGCCAGTGGACTGGGTATCTATTCAAAGGTTAACGATACTCTCAACAGCAAGAAGCAATGAGTCTTGTCCATTTTTGTAAATACATATACATAGTGTTAAAAAGAACAAGAAAGTGATATCTCTGAACCCGTGGTGACTGTGTGTTATGCCTTCTTCTTGAAGAACATGTCCAGAGCTCCTTTGGTCACTTTGGCCACTTTGACCTTCTTCTTTGGCGCAGCCTTGGCCACTGGCTTTGTAGATCTCTTGTTGTTCGCATTCAGTTGGTTGACCTCCAGCAAGCTCTGCTCGGCTGCTCTCTTTGCTGCTTTTTGTTGCTTGATCTTCCCAATGTACTGCTCGAGAGGCTCCAGTTCGTAGCATTTCATCAGCTTATCCACCCATTGTTCCGTCAAGTATGACGACAGCAACAGCACAGAGTACTTCTGCAGTGCCAGGGCCATCATATCTTCAGGGATGGATTTGTCGAGCTCCACTGGATACAACAGCGGCTTGATGAGCGATTCCAGGATGCTGGAGGGGAAATGGTCGCACAGTCTCTGGACTCTTTGCTTCAGCCATAGCAGAGCCATTGATTCGTCAAACTTGTAGAAAGTCTCGTCCCCTTCGACAACAGTGTTGCATATCTGTTCCAGCGATTTGGCCACCATGTCATCGCCAACCTCGGCAAACCCTTCGTACTCGGCTTGGAGGCTATCCACGATATCCTCAAGCCCTTGGAACCTTCCTGATGGAGCGTCAGTGAAATAGGCAACGAGCAGATAGCTCAGATTGAACAGCGTTGCCACCACCAAAGACCCATTTTCGATGACAACACCGTTACCCTCGGGGTCACTGAGTATCAGTGACCTCACTGGCTGGCCATCCGCCTTGGTCACGGGCCTCAAGTGGTTCTGTGGGTCAAATGGGTTATCGCCAGTCAGCTCACGCAGTTCGTACAACTTCCCACTGCTCACCACCAAATTCACCAGCTCTTTCGATATCGGAGACTTGAGCCTAATGATCTTACAGGGACCATTTGGCAGGTAAACGACGCGTGAATTCTCCATCCCTGGGCGCTCAACCGTGTGTTGTTCACCTTGCTGAAGCGCTGTAGAAGGTACGCGTTTTCGCGTCAGACATAATTCCCTTCCATCAACACTTTTTGCCCCCGTCTAGGTAAGCAAGCTGGACAAGGGCACAGGGCGGGAGAGCACAGCGATGGGCGTTCACGGCTTGTGGAGCATCCTGGAGTCTCAGTCGCTTCCTGTGAGACTGGAGAGTCTCAGCAGGAAGAAAATGGCTGTGGATGCGTCGATTTGGATATATCAGTTTCTGAAGGCTGTGAGAGGCAAAGACGGCCATTCGCTCAGAGCCTCACACGTTGTTGGCTTTTTCAGAAGGATCTGTAAGCTGTTGTTCTTTGGTATACTGCCTGTTTTCGTGTTTGACGGCGGTGCGCCTGCGCTGAAAAGAGAGGTCATCAGAAGGCGTAAGGAGAGGAGACAAGGCCAGAGGGAAGGAGCCGAGAGAACTGCTCAGAAGCTGTTGGCGTTGCAGTTACAGAGGGCGAAAGAGGCCGGTGCTGAAAGGCCGAGAGATGGTGACGATGCTGGCGATGCTGGCGATGCTGGCGATGCTGGCGATGCTGCGATCCAGTACAAGTACCTGGGTAATGAAGGCGAGGCCGTCAAACCAGCAGCTCAGTTCAGATCGACGGACGAGTACGACTTGCCACACATCGAAGGGTTTCAGATGTCTACAGATGATAGGAGGTTTGTCACTGAGGACGATATAAAGACATATAACGAGCAGATGGTCGATGAGCTGGAAGGCATTGACCTCAACACGCTGGACCCTGCTTCTGAAGAATTTGCACAGTTACCATTGACCACACAGTACATGGCACTCTCCCAGCTGAGACTGAGATCACGGCTTAGAATGGGGTATACGAAGGAACAGCTGGAGGGGATATTCCCGGAGAGCATGGACTTCTCCAAGTTTCAGATCCAAATGGTCCAGAGAAGGAACTACTTCACGCAAAGGCTGATGGGTATTAGTGGTATGGATGATGGTAACAACAACGGTGGTGAGGCTGGTAGGGTGGCAGGCGAGCGAGATAGGAGGTATAGGATTGAAAAGACAGACGGTGGGTGGGCACTGAGCCTGAATGATGACACCGGCTCCAGCATCAGGAACCCGGTTGTTTTGGATAAGAACGACGACTATGACAATGATAACGGTGCTGAAGATGAAGATGAAGACGTTGATTGGGAAGACGTCGAGTTGGAGGACGTGCAAGAGAAGAAAGTGAACATGAGCATGAGCTCTTTACCTCTTCCACCTTCCACGACCGTCGCTGCCGGTGATTCTACGCTGAAATCGTTCTACAGTCCAACGAAGAAGAAGAGTACAGAGCGTCGGGAGGATCTACACGAGGATCTGAAGGCCATTGAAGAGATGGAGCTGATAGAGGCCATTGAGCAATCCAAGAGAGATTACACCAGAGAAAAGGAGCTGGAGTTACAGATGCTTAAAGATCAGGATGATCTATTCGATGGCATTCCCTTTGACATTGAACCAGCACCAGAACAGGAATCAAGACGTGAACCAGAACTAAAGGAGAGGTTCGATGAAGCTTTTCCAAGCACGTTACCGATTCCAAAGAGGAATCCCCCTTTGGTCTCTATGGGAAGCAGTGCTAAAGGTGTGCTGGAGAAGGACAAGTTGCTGTTACTGGCCAAAGGAAAGAAGGAACAGGGCTTGGATGAAGCTGAAGTGGAAGGTGAATCTGTAATAGCCAAGGAGAAAGAGGACAACCCCCTTGTTACAGTACACTCCTGGCTCAAAGGTGATTCAATGAACTCGTACCAAAGGAAGCAGCAGGCAGCCATAGACTCAAGGCAAAAGGAGGACAATGACAAGAGGAAGGATGAGCAATTGGGATTGGTTTCATGGTCTGAAGCTCAAGAGATGTTGAATAGTGGAGGAGGCGATGCGGACGAGATTGAGATTGTTGAACAAAGAGTTGTTGATCCAGAGAAGAGCATCGCTCAAGAGTCAAGTGTCAAGGCTGTTGGAGAGGCTACTGAAGAGGCTCCACGGGAACAGTTAAATGAATCTGTGAAAGAAGCACCTCCGACTAATGAGGTAGATGCAGAGGAACGTGCTCAAGAGCTGAGATCACCAGCTGCTTTTGACTACGAATTTGAAGAGGAGGAAGAGCAAGAGCTCAATGAACAACTAGCAAAGGAGGAGGAAGAGCATGAGCAGTTCCAAAGGGACCTGAACCCACACATCATGGCATTTTTAGATAACGAAGGCTCTTTAAAAAAGCAGCATCAGAGGGAGATGAGAGATGCGGATGAAGTCACTGTTGTCATGATTCGGGAAGTTCAGGACCTCTTATCACGATTTGGTATCCCCTATATCACAGCTCCTATGGAAGCTGAGGCACAGTGTGCCGAGCTTTTGAAGCTGAAACTAGTCGATGGGATCATCACTGACGACTCGGATGTGTTCCTCTTTGGTGGTGATCGTGTCTACAGAAACATGTTCCATGAGAAGCATTACGTCGAGTTCTATAATTCGAACGCACTGGAGAAATTGGGCCTCGACAGATCAAAACTCATCGAGCTGGCACATCTATTGGGAAGTGATTACACTGTCGGGCTGAAGGGTATTGGGCCAGTGCTGGCCATGGAGATCCTAGCCAATTTTGGTGGACTGGAGCAGCTGAGGGACTGGTTCATGGAGGGTCAATTCGATCTCAGCAAACAAAAGCAGGAAAACGCATGGGAGAAATCTTTGAGGAAGAAACTGGTGAACAACGAGATTCTACTGGACAAATCCTTCCCAGACAGGAGAATTGACCAAGCGTATATAGCTGCTGAAGTTGATAGTGATCGGACCGAGTTCGTATGGGGAACGCCTGATTTGGATAGGCTAAGAACTTTCCTTATGTCTACAGTTGGATGGTCACAGGAAAGGGTTGACCAAGTTCTCGTGCCACTCATCAGAGACCTCAATAAGAAGAGAAGAGAAGGCACACAGAGCACTCTGGGTGAGTTCTACGACGTTGAGAATATGGTGGGTGTCAAGAGAAAAAGAATGAATAAGCGCATGGATACTGCAAGGGCCAAAATGGCCAAGAGGAAATGATTTATACATTGTTGAACGATGTATATCGCACTAAATAACGATAGTAATGGCATATCATGATTGTACCAGAGCGTAGGCCAAGGTCCAGCTCATTAGGAAAGCCGTCAGGTAACGAGCAAGATCGTCAACGTACAACGATTTCAACGGCGATTCAAAATACCTGGAAGGTTGTAATTGGCAGTGTGATATTGTGAATAGAGAAGAAACAAGTGCGAAGGATATAAACAGGAATAGAAACCCATTCAAGGATTCCAACTGAAGTATTCCGGCCGATATGCCAAAGATCAAGGATGTGAAATCATGGACATATTGTAAAGTCTAATATCGGTTAGTCCGAGCGTCTCGAGAGCGTGATTCGTACGATGACTCACCTTAGTGTTGTGCTGTATACTCTGTGCGTACTTTACTGGTTTGTCCATTGTCCAATTGGTTTATTTAGCTGCTTTGGTTGGTGTCAACGTTGTTCTCTTCACAAGGAGCAAAACGCAGAGGTCTCGATGTGTTTTTTACGAGCTGGCTATGATTGAGGTTTTTTGGGACAAGGTGGGACTCAGACCCGGTGGAGGAGCGCGCAGGACTTTAAACACATGCGGGTCGAGCTTGGACTAGGATTTGGGGCTAGAGAGACTCCAAGCAGGAAGTGGCCCTCGTGAAGTGATGGCCATCACATTGGATAGACTAGGAGACTAAAGTCCCAATGGGATTATCAACGCAGACTTGGCGACTGTTTATACCGATTGTGACCACGATGACTATCTTGAGAAAAGGAAACTTTGAGCTAGGACAGTTAAACCACTTGTGGAATTATTAAGCAAGCATCAAAACCACTTAAATTGTATGGAGCATAAATAACACCTTCTTTCAATACATTACGATCATGTTATTATCTCACGCTATTCTAGAAAGCCAACATTCCTAAAGGTCCTGATCATGATTCAAAGACTGCGGCAATGGCCTTCTTAATAGTACTCTTAGTAGAAGCTGGATTGGCGCCGGTGACGATTCTCTTGTCGATAACAGAGAAGTCAGCCCATGGTTCCGGTGGAGTAACCAGCTGTGCACCAATCTCCTTGATGAGTTGCTCATTGGTTTTCAGATGGAATTTATCCAAAATTGCGGATGTTCCCATCTCTTTCTCTGCACTGGTAACGAAGCACGTCAGTTTCTTGTCACCCGCAATGTCATCCAAACCTCTAAAGATTGCAGGTCCATGACACACCGCAGCGACACAACCACCGTTATTGTAAATAGTTCTAGCCAACTCCTGTAAACCTCTAGCTTCTGGGAAATCAAATAAAGAGGCATGTCCGCCGGCTGCAAAAAAGATCTTGTAATGGGAAGGGTCGATATCGGAAGCCTTTCTAATGTTGGCCAGATCCTTGTGGATAGGAGCCTCCTTATCATTGTACTCCTTCACATCCTCTTCAGAAACTAGCCTTGAAGGGATGATTGAGTGCTCGTCAATGCCCCATTCTCCATTCTCAGAGACGAATTGAACTTGCAGACCTGCGTCTTTAAAAACGTGATAGGCGTGTAGTGCTGCAGACCAGTATAGTCCACCCTTGGCACCATCGTCATAAAATATGTCATTGTTTGAAGTGACTGCAATCAATGCAGCTTTGTGATTGTGATGTTTCATTTTGTCAATTTGAAGCTAGTAATCTACTTAGATGATATTAGCAAAGAGGAATGAAAACATTATTCGAAAGTAACAGAGAGAGGTTGTATGCGACCTTTATATAGTTGGGAATTATGGTCCTCGGTGAACCCGTGCAACCATCAATTAACGTGTCAACTTGCCTGAAAGTATGACCTCTAAGGCTTTTACTCAATAGAGCTCATGTACATAAAATCACATATCCATCAATATGGGGGGGAAGCAGCTGCTGGCACAGCAACGTGATCGCTTGCAAACAATAGTAAGCTACAATCCTCAACCACCTATGCAGCCGCAAATGCAGGATTCAACAATATAAAACGAAAACGTGCCTTCTCCCACTTCCCTCCGCCCAGTGAGGTATAATTCATTTATCCGTGGATCGTCCACTCCGGTGACCAATTAGAGTTCACACTGTGTTATAACTTTTCCCAGCTACACAAGCCAGGAAACACGAAACACTTAGCCTTGAACAGTTTGTCACAGGAGCCCATGTTCTACAAATCTTGTAGTCGTGATTTAGTCTGGGGACCTGTACCGTTACCGGCATGCTTTTAGTCCCCGGTTCCGCACGCTTGTGGAGCTTGTTTCGAGACCCGAATTTTTTCAGTACTTTTGTCTTATACGCCGATGTCCTACTTCTCATTCTGTCATTCTTTCTTCTCAAGTGATTTATAACTCCCTCAGTTTCAAGGATCCAGATGTCACAAGAGAATAATCAAGAGAAGAAGAAGAAGCAAGCACCAGGCGGGTACATTGGGTTTGTAGCCGGTGTCTTCTCTGGAATTGCTAAGAATGCCGTGGGTCATCCGTTCGATACCATCAAAGTGAGACTCCAGACAGACTCCACTAGGTTCACGGGTCCATTGGACTGTTGTTATAAAACTTTGAAGACTCAAGGTATAAAGGGATTCTATCTGGGATTTACACCTCCGCTGTTTGGGTGGATCATGATGGATTCCGTTATGCTTGGCTCATTACATAACTACAGACGACTGATCAAGCGTCATTTCTATTCTGATGAGCCAAAACTGGATCTAAAGGGACACATATTTGCGGGAGTGTTGGCAGGCTGGACCGTTTCATTCATTGCTGCTCCTGTGGAGCTTGCCAAAGTGAAGTTACAAGTGCAATATGGTGCAAAGAATAACAGATACAGTGGTCCAATCAGTGTCATTAAGGATGTCTACAAGCAACACGGATTGGGTATCAACGGATTGTACAAAGGTTTGATCTCAACTCTGATCTTTAGAACGAACTTCATCACTTGGTGGGGAACTTACGAGGTCTTCACCAACCTGATGAAGGATCATACCTCAATGTCAGACTTTGCGATAAACTTCTGGGCTGGTGGACTCAGTGCTTCATGCTTTTGGATAACGGCATATCCAAGTGACGTCGTTAAGTCATATTTACTTGCAAATGACAAATTTGACGGCTCCTTTAAGAGTTGGAAATTGGCAACTAAAGAGATATATCAAAACAAAGGTTGGAGAGGTTTTACAAAGGGGTTTGTTCCTTCGATATTAAGATCGTTCCCTGCAAACGCCGCAGCCTTAGCAGCATTCGAAGCTGTTCTTAGAGCAACAGGTGCTTCTTCTTCATAGATTATTAGTAATGTATATATACATACAGCCATGAACACTCTTCAAATCACTGTAGCATCTGTTGTGTCTTCCTTGTTAGTCTGTTCCTCGTTATCTTCATCCGGTTTCGGTTCGTTTTCTTTGGCGATTTCCCATGGTTTCTTTCTCTGTGAAGACTTGCTCTCACTACCTTGGCCTTCGAGCACTGTGTCTGGTATCTGTTTTATACCGGGAATCTCATTCTCCCTGCCACTCATAATAAGCTCAACAACCTTTTGGTAATCGTTAGAATACCCAGGCTCGGGATTTTGGCTCTTCTTCCACTCTTGATAATCTTCAATGTTGAGGATATTACCAGTCTCCTTACTGAAATAGAATGTCTTCGCCTGTAAAGTCAGTCTCTCCTTATCTTCTGGGCTTATCTCTGTGACTATCTCGTGTATTCTCTCATCCTTGTCGTTATTCAACTGATCTAAGTACGATTCAAATACGTTCTCCAGTCCATTCTAATTGTCGCAGTTAGTACTCGCTGATTTGAGGGGGAGGGAAGATAAGGCATTCACATCGATAAACATACTAAGAAATCCTCATTGTTGAAATCAAAAAGATCGAAATAACGATAAACGTCCTCTTGAGTCTCCTGCATATCCATTATTGTCTCCTAGTCCCGTTTAGGCAGAACTATGGTCATGGGGGCTAACCTTTGTTTGTTGTTGATCAACCAAATTTGTGGTCCCGAGACAAACTTTTTCCTTCACATCTTCTCCAGGATCGAAAGAGAAGGCCAAACAAGACCCGTCCAAAGAGAAAACACAGATGTCATCTACTCTGCTGCTTGTTGCTGGTGCATTGATGAGAGTAGGGTTCCTACTCTTTGGGCAGTATCAGGATGCCAACATGGAAGTCAAGTATACCGATATTGACTACTTGGTGTTTTCGGATGCAGCTGGATACGTATGGAATGGTGGATCACCATACGTGAGGGAGACTTATAGGTACACTCCGCTACTGTCTTGGTTACTCCTTCCAAACAACATATTCGAAGACTTTGGTAAGTGGCTATTCATAACCTGTGATCTCATAACAGGCTTGATCATCTTGCAATTACTCGAGATGGCCATGGTCAAAGGCTGGAAGAAAACAGTACTGGGGTCAATCTGGATTCTAAATCCAATGGTTGCCACGATATCTACGAGGGGAAGCTCTGAGAGCGTCTTGACTGTGTTCGTTATGCTCTTTGTGTATAACTTGCTGAAGAGAAACGTTATGACCTGTGCAGTGTTTGCGGGCATCGCTGTCCATTTCAAGATTTACCCTGTGATCTATATACCAACTGCTATCATCTTTCTCTTACCTGTACATAGCATCAAACAGGTATGGAGATCCCCAGGTGTTGTTTTCGAGGATTCTGTGATTACGTTTGTGTTTTGTACCATTGTGACTTTCGTCACACTTGGATCGATCATGTACATCATCAACGGGTACGAATTCTTGGAACATTCATACCTCTATCACTTTATAAGATCTGATCACCGTCACAACTTTTCCATATACAACGTTTCCCTTTACTTCACAAGTGCGCTATCACAGATCCCCTCCGCGGATTTCACCAGACTGGCATTCATACCACAGTTATTGCTATCAGCAGTAATTGTCCCCTTGGCTCTGACTAAGAAATCTCTCTGTGATACGTTCTTGATTCAAACATTGACTTTTGTGACGTTTAACAAGGTTGTGACGTCCCAGTATTTCATTTGGTTCCTGATCTTCCTACCTCTTTACTTGAGAAACTCTTCCCTGTTGTCATTGAACAAGTCTAAGGGAATAATGGCCCTTTTGCTGTGGATATCATCGCAAGCAACCTGGTTATTCTTTGCATACAAACTGGAGTTCTTAGGGGAATCAACTTTCTTCCCACAGTTGTTATTGAGCTCTGTGGGATTCTTCTTTGTGAACATCTACATCCTGGGCTTGTTCATCGACGATACAACCAGTAAACACAATTCCAGTGGTATATAATTATGCAAACTATACGACAGAAAGCATGCATAGTCTTGTAATGTATAATAGGGTATGGGTATCTTAAAAGGCTAAGATGAGCACAACGAGCCATGTATATTGCGTTTTTTAGTCAAGTATGTACAAATAATGGAGGACTAGACATCTTCATAAAAGCACCCATCAGTACCAAATTTTCCGGTGATTCTGGTAGGCATCCATCCTTCAGACCCAACCCTTTCACCACGCTCAATAGCTAAAGCCAAGTCCTGTTGATTAACAGGACGCCCAATAGTAAACCCACGGATACATAGCTCACCATGTCTCTTGGAAATATCATAAGTTCCACTCTTGTACAACTTCAATTCCAATGATAAAGAACCAGTTCCCCGGTTTATTAACCTATCATTTGAAAACACCCTGTAGTCATAAAAGTTGGTGGACAATATTGCACCGATAGCACCTTCCAAGAATCGTTCACAGATAACACGACACCCGAACAAGGCTCTCATTGTAGTCAATTGTAAGCTTGAGAGTTCGTTATCAGGTGAAGTTGACCCAACGTATACAATTCTGAGATTTTCGTATTCCTTTAGAGATGCATTCGTAGAGAAAACACCCTGTGATAGCAAGTGAATTGCTCTGTGTAATTTCCAAGCTTGAAACGTACTTTGAGACTTAGTCACAATCGATGAAAAGTGTCCACTGGCAAAAGTGGAATCCACAGAGAGAATAGTTGGACTGTAAGTTTCAATTGCAGTGCTAAATGACTTGTTAGATGTCGATCCAATAATTACTGAGCCTCCATAAAGTAAAATTGCCAAAATCTTTGGCCAATAGTTGATAGTTGAATCTTCATATCCAATGAGTAAAGTTTCACGTCCAAACTCTTGGCCCAGAGGTAAAGTTCTTATGATAGAGGCAATAGAACTGACAAAATTTTGATGTGTATACGAAAATGATTGGAAGTTGAAGGTATCCACCAGAGGAATCACATCATCATACGAAGGATCGTACTTGTACTCATAATTGTCATCTCTTACTGAGTCCAAATCACCAATTGAGCTCCAATTAACAACATCCTGGCTTGGATATTGTGCAGACTGATCTTTTGATACCACAATTATCTTCTTGTATTGGAACATCTCTGCAAATCTCAATTGAGATTCATCGACTATGAGAACATCGACATCGCACTGGGTTCGTGGTAATCTGTTGAAAGTGTAGGCAGTGAGACCATGCGACCAGCAAGCCATTGTAGTTACAAACCCATGGAATGTATACACTGGAACTGCGATTCCAATCTTTTTACAACCGATGGACTCGAGATATTCCACCAATCTCTTAAAAATTCCGTTCAAGTGATCAATATCGTATACGAGTTCATCATCGTCAGCTGATATGAACCGAAGACGAGCATCGTGGTTTTTTTGTGTCATCACGACCGACCAGATATCACGAAGGTTACCATTACGCAACTTGAACCCTTGTCTTATGCTCAGTCCTGTGGCTAGTGGCATTCCGATAGGTACCAAGTTGTTTCTGTACACTGCGGTCTCGTCTTCCTGACGTGATTGTCCGATGTTGGACTGTTGATTGAGTGCAATCTCATGGATGTCTCTCTGATGGAAGACATACTGATTATAGAGGAAGACTGCAATACTGATTAGGACACCGGTAATAAGCACTAGAGTGATCATATTCCAAGCTAACGGGTTATTCAGTAAAAGGCAAGAGAAAGAAGGACGTTTAGTTAAGTAAGATTTCACCCAGTTTATAGTCTAATCGAAAGGTTATGAGCCCCTCCTATAATAATTGCCATGAAGAAGAAAAAAACCAATTCCGACGTACACGGGAAAATGAGTCGAAGCATCTCATCGTCAGTTTTAATTTTTCTTTAATCCCTTTTTAATCAACTACATCCATCTGGCACAAACTAAGAAGACCACAATGGCTTTGCTCATTACAAGAACTCTCGAGAGTTCAAAGTCTGTTCTGAGGTGCTCTGTATCGCAGCTGAGACGCTTTGCTTCACAGTACTCAGATTTGCGTAAACAAGACCTTCTCGAAGATGGTAATCCAGATTATGTCCGTTTGATCCTAACCTCCAGAGTGTATGATGTTATCGAGGAGTCACCGCTCTCACATGCAGTCAGTCTTTCCCATAAGACAGGTTCATCTGTCTACTTGAAAAGAGAGGACCTTTTGCCAGTGTTCAGTTTCAAGTTGCGTGGTGCCTACAACATGATCGCCAAGTTGGATGATACCTCCAGAGGTAAAGGTGTCATTGCATGCTCTGCGGGTAATCACGCTCAAGGTGTTGCATTCTCCGCTAAGCATTTGGGTATCCCGGCTACTATAGTTATGCCAGTGGCCACTCCTAGTATCAAATATCAAAATGTTTCAAGATTAGGTGCACAGGTTGTGTTGTACGGTGAAGATTTCGACGCTGCAAAGGGTGAGTGCTCTAGACTCTCTGAGGAGAACGGAATGACCAATATTCCACCATTTGACCACCCATATGTCATTGCAGGACAAGGTACCATTGCTATGGAGTTGCTTCGTCAGACAAACGGTGAGAAGATCTCCGCTGTTTTCTGTGCCGTTGGTGGTGGTGGTCTGATCTCCGGTATCGGTGCTTACCTCAAGAGAATTGCGCCTCACGTCAAGATCATCGGAGTTGAAACCTTCGACGCTGATGCTTTGTATCAGTCCCTCAAAGCCAAAGAGAGAGTTCAATTGAGCACCGTTGGTTCCTTCGCCGATGGTACCGCTGTCAAAATTTTAGGTGAAGAGACCTTTAAAGTGTGTTCTGAAGTTGTTGATGAAGTTGTTAAGGTGGACACAGATGAGATCTGTGCTGCTATCAAGGATATTTTCGAAGATACACGTTCTATCGTCGAACCATCTGGTGCTATGACCGTTGCGGGTATGAAACGTTACATTGAAGAGCACCCTGAGTTGGACCATTCTAAGGCTACTTATATCCCAGTGCTTTCAGGTGCTAACATGAACTTTGACAGACTTAGATTTGTATCAGAAAGAGCCGTCCTTGGTGAAGGTAAGGAAGTTTTCATGCTCATCTCCATTCCAGATACTCCAGGCTCTTTCCAAAAGCTCCAGAGCGTTATCCATCCAAGAACCGTCACGGAATTCTCCTACCGTTATAATTCAAACCAAGAGAATGGTAAAAAGATCCAAAATGCCTCTATCTACACTTCTTTCTCTGTCGTGGACCGTAAGAAGGAGATATCTCAGGTTATCAAGGAATTGGAAGACCTGGGATTCTCTGCAATTGACATTTCTCAGAATGAGATGGCCAAATCACATGGTCGTTACCTTGTTGGTGGCTCTGCAGACTTGCCAAACGAAAAGCTTTATAACTTTGAGTTCCCAGAGAAGCCTGGTGCGTTGACGAAATTCCTCGAATGTGTCAAGGGCAACTGGAACTTGACTTTATTCCACTACAGAAACCATGGATCTGATGTTGGTCAAGTGTTGGCTGGGTTTGATGTTCCACCACAAGATACTGAGAAGTTTCAAACATTCCTCGAAGAGACCGGTTACACGTATCAGGACGAAAGTGACAATGTTGTCTACAAGAAGCTCTTGAAACGTTAATGCGACTACCCTATATATTATATTACAACTTCATAGAAATCAATGAAAAGAAAAAAATGAACTACAACATCATCAAAGAATAGTACAACAGAATGATAATTCTAGTAAACAAAACAAGTACGAAGAAAACAAACAGCAAAAAGATGTACAATACAGTCCAGAAAGTCGAAATAGATATTTTAGATATCAATCAGACTCTGCTCGTTACCTTGAGTTCTGTAACTTGATTGTTGTTGCTGTTGTTGCTGTGGTTGTTGGTTCTGGTTACCAAAGCCATAACCAGTGTATGAAGGCACAATTCCAGTGCTAGCAACACCTGTATATTGTTGTTGCAAGAATGGATTTCCAGTCTGTTGTTGGCGGATACCAGTTCCACTGGAGTTCAAAAACTGAGTGGTTTGTGTATGCTGCGCAGGTATACGCAAATTTCCCTCATTACCAAAAGTATCGATACCAGTACCCTGAGCTAATAATGTGTTCAATTCGGAAAACTGTTCGTTCTTTTGTTGGGACCCAGTTGGGACCTTAGTTAATTGTGGCTGCTGCTGCTGTTGTTGCTGTTGTTGTTGAGCTTGTGTCAGTCCAAAGACATCCTGTCCTGCTGGTTGAGAAGCTGTCTTTTGAGAGCCTAAGGCAAACGGATTGTTGGAGCCTGTCTTCAGAGGCTCTTGTTGCTGCTGTTGTGCATATTGTGCCTGTTGTTGAGCAGCTAGCAATTGCTGTTGTTGTTGAAGGTATTGCTGTTGCTGGAGGTACTGTTGTTGCTCTAAGTAAGCTTGCTGCTGTGCTTGTTGTTGCAAATAAGCTTGCTGTTGAAGATATGCTTGTTGTTGCTGTTGTTGCAAAAGAGCCTGTTGTTGTTGTTGTTGAAGGTAGAGATCGCTTTGATTACCATAAATTGGATTGCCCCAAACGTCATATTGGACTGCTTGTTGGTTGTCCGAGAAGTCAAGCAAGTTTTGAGATTGTGCCTCTCTTTGTCTTCTAGCCTCTTCCTCTTCACGACTGAGCTGCAAAGCAACCTCTAATCCTCCATCTTCTTCATTAACAACACCTCTTCTTCTTCTCTCATCTTCTTCAGCGGTTCTTTTGCTCTCTTCTAAAGCCCTTCTCAATGCAGCCTCTTCATCGTCCTCATCATCATCATAGTCATCTCTGTCACGCTCACGGCTTCTTCTCCTACGAGATCTTGCATCCCTGCGGTTTGCACGTAATTCACGTTCTGCTTTCAATCTCTCATCATCCCTCAACAATGAGGTGAGTTCCTTGGCCTTGACTCTGATGAGATTACCTTGGTCTTGGCCGTTATCGTCAACATACTGGAATTCCCTCAAAGTCTTGATGATATAGAGATTGTCTCTAGACCAACGCACAACATTCTCTGAACCGCTTCTAACTAGATAGTCAAGTACAGTAAGTGCCTTGGTGACATGTCTATAATTTTTTCCCTTATCGTTCAACCTCTTGTCTAACATATCCATAATCTCAAGAAATTCGGTACTGAGTTGTTTTCAGTTAGTTAAACCAATGTCATAATGAGGATTTTAAAATCCACACTTACTTTTGATATGTGAGATCGGCTAAGTCCTCCATCTCACCAGCGCTAGGTCCATGTGGTTCATTTGATGTAGCTAGGTTAATCTCTAGGTTAGTACGACCTCAAATAAACTTGTGATGGATTTAAGGGGGATTGGTCCTTTTCCACTATCATCACATAAAAGTTTGAAACTCACCATTTCTCACCCTCACCTGAGCCGAGGAATATCCATTGACAACATTTTTAATCGAACGGGCAAAAGATTTTGACATCTTTAAGTCTTGGAGGTTTATTCGTGTTGTCTTCTTGATGATGTTTTGTTACACCTGGAGGAAGAATGTGTAAAACGTATTAAAGAGATTTTTAGAAAAATGAGAATCGGCTTCGGTGCACCTGAAGTTGCGCCAACCAAAAACCCCTCAGCCCAATTCCACAAACTATGTACGCAACTGTGCAACTACATATGAATTCTCTATCTTGTACAGCGTTTATCAGCGTGTCAGATATTCTCGCATCCTGGACAATTGTGCATCATCTCATGGATGAAGACATCACAATCAATACAGAAATGCTGATTGCAATCAACACACCTATACCGTGAACTCGTTGTCTTGTTTGCGATAAAATCAGGGAATTCACTCTGACATGCAAAACATTGTGTGGAGTCATATTCATCGGCAACAGGTACTTCTTCAAAGTTCTTGAGGGGAATGAGGTGATGATATGAACGTGCGAGATGCGTAGAGAGGATAAGCATCATGTTACAACATGGACATATCGTGGGTAGAGAGCATACTTTTGATTTGCAGTTAGGACACACATAGCCACCGTATGTCAGCTTAGAATGACATGAGCAAAAGGAGGGTGTATCCTGTGAAACCCTTGAAGGAAACCCCATCTTCACAAGAGTAAAACTCTTGTTGATCTTATTCACTGGGAGAGGCACCACAGCTTCCGTCAAAAGATCTTTGAAATGGTGTTCGTTTAATATAACTTTATATGAGCTTTCATCGTTGAAATTTGTCTTCTTGCAAATCTCCTTACAGATTGACACCTGCGCTGAAAGCCCGATAATCTTTACCCTCACCTTCTCTTCAACAAGTGATTTCACCGTTTTGTGAATATTACCTGGGTCAATTGTTAACAGTGATCCAAACACGACGAGTACCTCTCTGGTACAATGAGATGCAACGTGTAGTAATAGTCCACGAGACATTTCGAGTGCATTTTGTAAGGATGGATCGCCCTTAGGCTCCAATTTTTTAATAGATTTCAATGCATCTATGTGATCCTGTGGATTCCCACTAACTTGACTCACAAGTTGAGCTATACCGTTTCTCATAACAATAATACCCAGTTGTGAGATAGGATTTTGGTCAAAGAATTCCGTTATGAATTGGATCACATTAGTAATAGTCAAAGCATGTCTATTTGGTCGAAGATCCTTTTCTAACATCGAAGAGCTCATATCGATCACCAGAATCAAATTACGGATGATACCTCTCTGAAAAGGTGTGACATTCTTGATGATTCTTTTCTTCTTTGATTCGATTAATCCAGATACTATACCGGCAAGACTACCAGCTTCATCTTCTTTCACAATATCCCAACTACGTTGGTATTCATCTTCCCATGAATAACCTCCATTTGCACCCTTCAAATCACTTTTGACTTGAGATTTTCTTGTAGAACGACGTTTTACCTGGATGGCCTCCACATCACTGATGTATTCATCAGAATCATCCATCCTTAATTGACTGTAAAGTTGTCCTTTTTTGAGAGCTGAACTCTGGATGAGCTTGCCCTTTTTGTTTCAACTGAAAAGCATGTAAGGTAACGGACTGAAATTTACGCTGTGATCCGATTTTTACACAACTATTCCTTGCATCAATCAGCACACACGCATACATTGAATGAACACCACGCACTGTGCTACTGGTCAAAAAGTTTCTATACTCTCCGCTTTTAGAAAGATTTGTTCATCAGCACTGTCTTAAAACACAACAGTTGATATTAGATCGCTATCCTCCAGATAGTACTTCTACATACGGTGAGTTCATTTAAGCCAAAACGTATACCTAAAATGACGTACCTTTAGAAAAACTGTTCTCCAGAACCGTAACCATGGTAGAATCTATACCCTTTATCGAATCATTTTAACACAGCAGGTGTGACCCATACAGCTATGAAATCTCAACGAAAGAAAGTAAATGAAAATCATAATCCGTATAAGTTTGAGCTGATGTGTTTGTGTAACATTTTAAACCATCCATGCACTTCCATCACTTTGCAACGTACAATGCTTTTGTGTAACTTCAAAATGACCCTCCAGCGCTAAACTATATCAATACCAGCAGTCAACGACTATATGTGTGACAGTTACTCTATATATGTGTCACTTACGTGAATGATAGAACACAATGTGGGCATCAAAAAGACAACCTAGTATCTTTTAACGGCAATATCAGTTTTGAATCTACAGCTATATGTTAATCCTAAACTTTATGGGGCATATTTCTACTATCCACTACTGGGTAGAGAGATATTCTAGTTTTCCGGAAAACAAAATGGAGCCTTTCAGTAAACTTGTGGTCTCATCTCTCAACCCAAATGACAAATATGATCCCCATTTGTGCAGTACAAACATTGGAACACTTACGCTTGCTTCAATGACCTCAAATTGTTCGCTTATTTAGGTTCTTGTGTTGAATTCTTAATGTCTCAAGCTCAGTAAGCTATCTGGATCTAAAGCATTGTGAAGGTAAGGTACCAAGGAGAGGCTAGACAAGTTGCACAGTGAAGTCAACTGTCTATGTATATGTTGATGACGTACAACAATAGAGAGACCAACCTGGGTCTATTATGTAGCCTTATTAAAACTCAGTCCTAATAAGTGCACACATTATGGTCAACAAAAGGCTCTTAATGATTCTTCAGGACTATCTGGAAGATTAACTTAACACAGCAGCATCACATTTGGCTCTTATCAAATCTCCCATTGTTTTTTCTTTTTTTTTATAGCGCGCGCCACATCACCACCGCTCTGATTCAAACACTTCCTGATATGAACACATTTCCATTTCAGATGTTACCCGGAATCATATAAACTGGCAGATACCTAGTTCTTCGATGACTAAATACCATATCACAAATTTTAATGATCAACTGTCATAACTGTGATATCTCAACAACTTAAAGTGACATAGCCAGAATCAGGAAACATGGAAAATGTAAAGAAAGAGAATAGCAGCATTTACTTTTTCTTCTACAATTCATCAAAAACCAAGTAATATTTAATTTTTGACATTTCCAGAAAATGATTCCATCCTTTCAATAAAGAACAATATCTCCTTATGTGGCTTATGTTTTATTTTTTCCCCATCACTATAATGGTTGTTACAATAAAGTGACGAAAATATAACAGACTTCAATAATACCAAACATTTTTATATATTCAGGTCTTTTCTCGTCAAACTTTATTCCATTCAAATAATTAGATGAATCTCTTACAATATATATTGGTATTGATCTGTTTATTTAATTCACCAACCACTTTTATCTATCTCGCTATTTAATTTCAAAACGACAACAGTCAATTTGTTAGATCTTACTACTTACTCAGCCCATGCTAAACTCAAGCTATAAGTAGTAATCAAAGCATAATATAAAATAAAAACAAATAAAAACTCTCACGTCAACATTTTCATCTACAAATCTAGAAACAGCAGACTCGAAAACATTTAATTTTCACATCCATAAAAATAGTTACATATTTATTTGAAGCTGGTGGGTTTTCAAAGCACCTTCCTTTTTCATTGTTTATCTAAGTTTCACCTTATCAATCGTATAGACAATTTAGTTTGCATATATTTTTAATAAAGCAACTTTTAACTAGCCAATACACATATATGATTCTTTGCACCAACCTTTTAAAGCATCTTTCAACCAAAAATGAATTGAACATTTTTATACACACTGACACCTCAACTTTTGCCTGACCGTTTAAAGGTCCTCTTTGAAGCTGAAACATTGTTTTCAAATTCGTACCCTATTTTCTCTGACTGAATATAAGGTCATGATAATATCGCTATTCCAACAACTGCGCATAGAAAACGATCTTTCCAAAATAAATATGAAATGGCTCCTCTTATTTGTTCCCCATAACATAGTATTTCGGAAGTTTCAAGTATATTCATTTCTGAGTAATGAAATTTAAGATCTTGATCTACCTCCATAAAAGGTATTCTTTGTATTAATTAAGATATTTTTGGTACAAAACAAATTTACAGCCCATTATCTCTTGAACCACGGATATTTTTCTGCAATAAAAACACTTCTTGGAAAATTTTAAAATGAACTTTTTACTAACATACCGACCAAGCCCCATAATACAACAAAAATACTAGTCTGAAATATCAAGACTGTTCGGTAGACCCTATGTCTATGAAATTGCTTTCTCTGTATATGTAAGTAGAATCCTTTAAATGTAACAAATTTATCTCTTACAGGTGCTTTATTTGTAATAATGTTTTCCTGTATTTGTGTTTTATCCTTTCATCCGTTTCCTCTTGTTTCATATTCGATTTCAAAGAAGTTTTCTTTATAAATTTAAAGCAAAGCAATAAAGCTGGCAGCCACTTTTTCAGAAAATGTCTGGAAATTTTAGATAGCTTTCATTTATCTTCATTATGGTAAGTTTTTTGTGTGTGTATCTTTTTTTTGTTTTTGTTTTTTGTTTTCTGCCTGCTGTTTTTATCAACTTAAACAAAAGTAGTATTACTTCCAGTTACTTGAAAGCCCCATGTAGAAAGATGCAAACTCATATAAATATCTAACGCACCC